AGCCAGAAGTCAAGAGGTCCTAGAGAATTTCAGGTCCTGTTAGTGTGCCTTCACAACAGATGGGAAATCTGGATAAGATGCATTCCCTGGAATTCATAGTGTCATAGACACAGTAGAATGTCAGGCCTCCACAGGACAAATGTCAGTGCTTGCAAACAATTTATGTACCTATTAGAAATAGGTACATGAATTTGACTCATGGAGGCTTACACTGAGCCCAGAGTATCCATACCAGGCAACCTTGTCCTTAGTGCAGCTCAAAAACTGACCTACGGAGTTCCCTGCTTGGCCACTGGGCACCCACCAATTTGTTACTAGTGACCTCAGGAGAGCAAATATGTTTTCTTTAGCACTACTGATTTTCTGTTTGCTTGAAAGTTTTTCTACTATCAAAAGCTGCTAGATTCATGCTGGCCAAGTTAATCCTGGAAGTAGTTTTATTCAGCCAATGATTACTGGTAGATTCATGTCAGATAAGTTAAATATCCAGCCGGCCACCAAGCACAGATTTTGCCCAGTTTATACTGGTGTAAACTTCAAACCCCAAATGCTATTATAACATAAATGCAATGTGTGTATACTATAAATACATCCACATGGTGCAAAACCCCTGGTTGGAAAGATGTCACTTTCTCCCCAGGAAGTCCAAAATTAAGGTTTATACTGGTGTTCTCTTAGCAACAGCCCTGTATTTCTGGAAGTTTTCTCCAGTCATCCACAGCTGCTGGTGAAATCAGGCTTGATAATGAGGTCTTTCTAGTCAGCCAATGAGGGCATCATACAGAATACAACTCCACTATTCAGGACAGGCAAGTATGGTTTGGGATATGGAGTGAAAGGTCCAGAGTGGAGTTAGTTTTTTTCTGTCCCTGAAGCTTATTGTTGTGAGTACCTAGCAGACCTTGCTGGACTGAGGTTTCCTCAGTTTGGTACATATATATGGTGTATAGCCCCGGTCCGCGGCATGCCACAGCCACATGGACTGGGCTGTGGTAGGTAAAACAGTCGTCCACACACAGCCATCCTGTCTGCTGCAGCTAAGCTCTCTCCTTCCTTGGCTGTGGATGTGCAGAGTGGCATAACGGAGACTAGAGAGAGAGAGGTCAGAGACTGTAACAGGCTACTCTTGCAGCTATGGCCGGATGGGAGCCTACCCACTGCCTGGTTACAGAGACACTCTGACTGCAGTGCAGTCCGGGAAAGGAAGAGCCCACCCAGGAAACTGTAAAGGACTGCTGGGAGACTCCTAAAACTATGGGTGAATGTATTCTCCATTAGACAGTCTCTATTAAGCAAAGTACAGTATGGAGTTACAAGTCCCAGGAGGGACAGTGTTCTGTGAGAGGAGAAAAAAAAAAAAGGAAAATGAAACCTGGACTGGGGGAATCTTATGTGGGGAGTGAGAAGGGGTAGTGTGCCGATAAGTCATAACACTGTTTATTGTGGTGTCAAAATGGGACCGTGTTGCTGCATGTGATTAGGAGCCACTGCTGTCTAAGAGATTGTGACTTGGAGGAGAGGGGCATCACTGGCTTCAAGAGATCATTGCTACAGCATCAGAGCTGCCACCAATGTCATTATTATATTATTATTATACAGGATTTATATAGCAATAAAACTCACCAGAGCAATATGCTGATTATATGATAAACCGGCATATATCGCTTGTTGCTCTGGGAGCGATGGTCTGTGTGGTAACAGCAACACTTTAAACTTTAAAGGATGAACTCCAAGGGGTAATGATCTGCACGGCTGAATATCCACTACAAAAATGAGTTAGCATCCACATAGAGAGATGTCCAGACCGCCACTCAGAAGAAAAAAAAATAAACACTCATGGTGCAGTATGTACTAAAAACATCAATATTTAATAAAAAATGCACTTACAAAAACAGGTGCCCACACTGACACCAGTATAAACAGCATATTAGAACAACCAAGTCTCACAAACCCAGCCTGGCTCACACATGCGCCGTACAAGCGGACCGGGGGCGTGCTGACGTCACATCCAAAAGGCTCCGCTATGGAGATCTCTGCAGGAGTGGGCACTGACCCTAAGAAATTGGAAGCTGTCACCTCCTGGCCAAGACCAAGAAACGTGACTAAATTAATTTCTGAGGTTCTACTCTTATCATAGATGGTTTTGCCAAGATAGCCTGACTCCTCAATGAGCTGAGGAGTGAGGATTGGCCCTGCCCCCCCCCCTCTTCTCATTGGCTCACTGGCTGTGATTGACTGCCAATGGCTCCCGCTTTTGTCTCAGCTGAGGAGAGGGAGTCTCAGAATAACCGAGACTCCAGTGCACATCGTTGGATCGAGAGGGGGCTTAGGTATTAGGGGGGCTACTCCATCAAGAAGGTTTTTTACCTTCATGCATAGAATGCATGAATGTAAAAAAAATCCTTGAGCCTCTTGAAGTATTATTCAGGGGTTGGAAACAAAGAGGCTGACACCAGGATACTGTATGACACCAAGGCTCCCCCAAAAGAGTGGACCTAACTGATGTCAGAAGGAGTCCAAGTTTTATGTCTTTGGTTGCCTTTGGAGCTGAAGCTATTGGGGTACCCACTGCAGGTGTCCTTAAGCTCTACTGTAAATTCACTCAAGTGAGAGGTGGTGATCTATTTTATTAAGGAAACGATCAAGTGGAAGACCCTTTAGCAGTTTAACCCTGAAAGTCCTGTAGAGTTGACCTTCAGTGGTAGTGAGCACTCCAAATGAAGCATGCCTGATCCACTATGAATGGGATCAATTACAGTTACTGTACAGGTGAAACACAAAAAAATTTTTAAAATTATTGTGCAAGAGTTCATTTATTTCAGTAATGCAACTTAAAAGGTGAAACTAATATATGAGATAGACTCATTACATGCAAAGCAAGATAGTTCAAGCTGTGATTTGTCATAATTGTGATGATTATGGCTTACAGCTCATGAAAAGCCCAAATCTACAATCTCAGAAAATTAGAATATTACATGCAATCAATAAACCAAGGATTGTACATAGAACAATATAACAATAAGCATGCATATGTACTCAGTACTTGGTTTGGGCCCCTTTTGCAGCAATTACTGCCTCAATGCGGCGTGGCATGGAAGCTATCAGCCTGTGGCACTGCTGAGGTGTTATGGAAGACCAGGATGCTTCAATAGCGGCCTTCAGCTCTTCTGCATTGTTCGGTCTCATGTCTCTCATCTTTCTCTTGGCAATGCCCCATAGATTCTCTATGGGGTTCAGGTCAGGCGAGTTTGCTGGCCAATCAAGAACAGTAATCCCACGGTCTTTGAACCAGGTTTTGGTGCTTTTGGCAGTGTGGGCAGGTGCCAAGTCCTGCTGGAAAATGAAGTCAGCATCCCCATAAAGCTCATCTGCAGAAGGAAGCATGAAGTGCTCCAAAATCTCCTGGTAGACGGCTGCGTTGACCCTGGACTTAATGAAGCACAGTGGACCAACACCAGCAGATGACATGGCTCCCCAAATCAACACAGACTGTGGAAACTTCACACTGGACTTCAAGCATCTTGCAGTGTGTGCCTCTCCATCCTTCCTCCATACTCTGGGTCCTTGGTTTCCAAATGAGATGCAAAAGTTGCTCTCATCAGAAAAGAGGACTTTGGACCACTGAGCAACAGACCAGGTCTGTTTTTCTTTAGCCCAGGTAATACGCTTCTGATGTTGTTTGTTGTTCAGGAGCGGCTTGACAAGAGGAATACAACATTTGAAGCCCATGTCCAGGATCCGTCTATGTGTGGTGGCTCTTGATGCACTGACTCCAGCCTCAGTCCACTCCTTGTGAAAGTCCCCAACACTTTTGAATGGCCTTTTCCTGACAATCCTCTCCAGGCTGCGGTCATCCCTGCTGCTTGTGCACCTTTTTCTTCCACATAACTTTCTATTAATGTGCTTTGATACAGCACTTTGGGAACATCCAACTTCTTTTGCAATTACCTTTTGAGGCTTTCCCTCCTTATGGAGGGTGTCAATGATGGTTTTCTGCACAACTGTCAGGTCAGCAGTCTTTCCCATGATTGTGATTCCTACTGAACCAGACTGAGCGACCATTTAAAGGCTCAGGAACCTTTTGCAGGTGTTATGGCTTAATTAGCTGATTAGAGTGGGACACTTTGAGCCTAAAATATTGCACCTTTTCACAATATTCTCATTTTCTGAGATTGTGGATTTGGGGTTTTCATGAGCTGTAAGCCATAATCATCACAATTATGACAAATCACGTCTTGAACTATCTTGCTTTGCATGTAATGAGTCTATCTCATATATTAGTTTCACCTTTTAAGTTGCATTACTGAAATAAATGGACTTTTGCACAATATTCTAATTTTTTTTAGTTTCACCTGTATGTGATTTTGCATTTCTGGGTAAGGGATGCACACCCTCCCGCACCACCATTCGCGGATGTCAATCACTGGGTCCCAGACGGTAATTACCCACCGGCGCCCGGTGATTACCGCCAATCACCGACAGGAAAGAAGACTGTTTTGTTTACAGTCTCCCTCCGTCAGCTCAAGCGCACTGCTTGGGATGGCTGTCTGTGCATAGCCATACTGATCAGTGTGCTTACAGTAAAACACTCCCAGCACATAGTTAACCCTTTGATTGCCCCTCACATTAACCCCTTCCTGCCCAGTGCCAGTACGCTTTTTTTTTTTGGTAGCACTGATCACTGTATTGGTGTCACTGGGGATATCCGTGACAGCAAGTTAGTTTTTCCCCCAGTGTCAGAATGTCGGCCGCAGTCCCGTTAAGTCGCTGATCGCCGTCATTACTAGTAGAAAAAAAAAATCTCAGTATCTATCCTGCCTTTTTTAACCACCTCCAGGCCGGTATATAGTAATATGATGGTCGCAAGGTGGTTCACTCGTTCTGGGAGGACGTCATATGACGTCCTCCAATTCTCACCATGCATCCGTGGCTAAGCGAGAGCGCAGCTTCCCTCGGACACAGCGGATCACCGATCACAGAAAGACCTGAAGATGTTGGCTCGGTCATGTGATCAGCTGTGTCCAATCACAGCTGATCACATGTAAACAGGGAAATCGCATTTCTCTCCTCTCGAGTTGTCACGCTGACAGCTCGAGAGGAGAGCCGGTAATCGGCTTTCCGTGGAGGGGACATGTACACTGATCATCAGGGCACTGATGATCAGTGTGCCCTGATGATCAGTGAAGCCCCAGCAGCGCCACCTGTCAGTGTCCATCAGAGCCTTCTGTCAGTGGCAGTGCCCATCTGTGCCACATATCAGTGCCTACCACTGCACATCAATGCCACATAGTGTCCATCTGAGCTGCCTTTCAATGTCACCCATCAGTGCCCGTCAGTGCTGCCTATCAGTGCCATGTATCAGTGCTGCCTTTCAATGCCCATCAGTGATGCTTGTCAATGCCCATCAGTGCCTCCTCATCAGTGCCACCTATCAGTGTCCATCAGTGCAGCCTCTTTAGCGCATATCAGTGAAGGAGAAAAATCACGTATTTACAAAATTTTATAACAAAAACTAGGAAAAAAACTTTTTTTTTTTTTGCAAAATTTTCAGTGGTTTTTGGTTTAAGAAAAAATAAAAACTCAGAGGTGAATAATACCACCAAAATAAAGCTCTGTCACAAAAAAATGATAAACATTTCATATGGGTACAATGTTGCATGACCGCGCAATTTTCATTCAAAGTGCGACAGTGCTGAAAGCTGGAAATTGGCCTGTGCAGGAAGGGGGTATAAGTGCCCTGTAGGCTTGTGGTTAAATGCTATAACTTTCATGTAAACCAATTAATTTACACGTATTGGGATTTTTTTTTTTTTTAGCAAAGACATGTCGCAGAATACATTTTGGCCTAAATTTATGACAAAATTTAATTTTTTTTTTTTTACTGGACATAATAGCAAAAAGTCCAAAATATTGTTTTTTTTCCCTCAAAATTGTCACTTTTTTGCATATAGCGCAAAAAATAAAAACCGCACAGGTGATCAAATACCAAAGAAAGAAAGCTCAATTCGTGGAAAAAAAAAGGATGTCAATTTCAATTGGGTGCAGCATTGCATGACCGCGCAATTGTCAATTAAAGTGACGCAGCGCCGTAACGTAAAAAATGGCCTGGTCAGGAAGGAGGGTAAATCGTAAGGAGGGCAAGTGGTTAAACTCTGCAAAAACACGCTACAAACATGCATGAAAGAGAACTGAAGGAGCCTAGCTACATAGCAGTGCTTGCATGTGTTACAAAAAAAAGTAAAATAAAAAAACTTTTTTTTTTCCATTCCAATGCCCCAAAAATGTGCATGAACGCATGCAAGAGTGTGTAAATGCAACTTAGTGAAGAAAATAAATTGAAATAAATAAAATCCACACGTGCTTTGCGCAGTTAAGGCAGAGATTGGGGGTACTGAGCCCTCCGTGCGTCCATTCTACACCAAATGGGGTGTCCTATGGTATGCAGGGATGATTGTGGGGGTCAGTCTCTGTGACATGATGTCTCCAGAGGAGGAAGACTCTTTCCTGTGAGCCGATGTGACAACGATCCCACCCTGACATGAGGATGACGTAGGGGTGTCACCCCTCCATGAGATGAGCCCCGAGGAGATCCCAGCCCACCATCATCCGGGATGTGATCTCTGTGTACACACCGCCACGGTGGCAGCCATATGTGCTCCGTGCAGATCCGCATGTCCCCACAGCGCCCCTCCCCGTCCGCCTCCCGTACAGGCCGCAGCCCGCCGCTCTCCTGAAGAGGATCACTGCTCCGTGCCGGCCTGTGTACGGGGCTGAGCCACATGAGAGGTGAGTGATGGTTCGTGGCACACTACAGACCGGGGACCTGCCTGGGCCTTGCTTCCTGTCCCCCATGTCTGTGCTGTCTATCAGAACATCTCTGCCGGTGTCCATAGACATGGCTACAAGCTGCCATAGACTTCTGTCTGCTGGGAAAGCCCAACTCCTGGCAAAACTTTGCTTTTGTTTGGTGCTGGATAATGTGGGAGGGTTGGAGTCTCTGTCAGGTTTTAGGCCTCATTCACAATGACTGCATTCACATTTTGCGTAGCTGGAACTCGCCGTTTACGGTGGGCAATTTTCATCACCCAATAGAAGCTCCTGCTGCTTTATGGACAACGAGCCGAACACAATTTTTAAAGGCGTGTTTTGCGGTTTGACAGCTGCGGCAAAATTGTACAGCATTTGGGGCGACATTTAGAATTAATGGCACCCAAAACATGCGACACGCAATTAGAATCCCTGTCAATCTTTACTTTCACCATCTGTGTCCCATTGCAGAGCTGTCCCTTCACTTTGTGTCCTATAGCCAAACAGGAAGTACAAGGAAATCCCTGCAAATGGAATCCCTTGGGGACCCCCCAGGTCACTAGAGCTAGTGTCCCCACAGGAAGATTTCCCCTCTATTACTTGTCTGGGGACATCCCAAAATGTGGGATTTTCTTTTACTTTCAATGATAATGGTAAACAGGACAAATAGGGTGAACCTCACTAACGGGGGGCACAGACCTCAATAAAAACTGATGGGGGTTCTAAGCCTTCTCCAGTCTATCCAAAATTTAAAAAGTTTTGCCTTTAGTTATACTTTAACCGCTTCCACATCGCTGCATAGCAGATATACTGCGACACGGCGGCACCTGTGTGCAAAATCCCATATATATACTTAGAATGAATGGCACCCAAACATGCGTCACACGGTTTGCAGTGATTGCTACATGATTTGGGACCACAAGCCAAATCTCCCCGATTTTGCCCACAGTTCCCAATCACCAAGTGTGAATGGGGCCCCACAGATGGCAGAAATCACAGATGTGTGTGAATAGCTGCGTTCGATCAGCCTGGACCAAGCAATGACAGGCTGGGAGGAGCTGCAAATGTCTGTATATATCTGCACGATTTTTATAATTATACAGGATTTATATAGCGCCAACAGTTTGCTCAGCGCTTTACAATATAACAGGAACAAATACAGTAACAATACAAGAGGGATTGGAGGGCCTGATCCTTGGAGTTTACATCCAGTGATGACAATCAGATGACTGGCCCCGCACTCAGTCTGTTCCTAACCGCAGGTAACCCCTGGATGTACGGATACATGGGGACAGCAGCAGCTCCTTTCAGCCTGTCATTGCTTCATCCAGGTGTCAGAACACGTCTGAGCTCATCCCTGTGTAGGACATGCCAGGCGAGTGGTTCTTCCCGGGACATGCACGGCGAGGAATTCCTTTTGGCACTCCTTTCCATTACAGCACATACCTTGCTGTGCATTATGCTTTGTGTTAAAGTATAACTAAGCCCGGGTTCACACTTCTGCGCAGGGGCAGACTGACAACTCATGGGGCCCTCGGGCAATAGGGGATCATGGGGCCCCTGTGTCCTTGCCCAAACTCAAAAAAGCCTATGAAAAAGGTACCAGGGGCATCTCATGGGGCCCCCTACTGACCCCGGGCCCTCGGGCAGTGCCTGAGTTTCCAAATGGTCAGTCCCCCCCTGCTTTTGCGGTGCGGCATATCGCATGTAATTCGCACAGGAACTGCACCACATTCCTGTACAAATCACATGTGAATTCTGAAGTCCTGTTTAGCCATTTTGTATGGCTCAAATCGCACCACATCAGCACCTAAAACATGCAGGACCCTTTTTTTTTGCTCCACACTAGAATCGGATCACATGGGTATTCACACCTATGTGATCCGATTCTGCACATCGTACCACGTTTTGCGGACCGATTTTGGGGTGTTGTTAACATACACACCCTCAGCGGTTCTCATGAACGGGATTGTGATGCGGTGTGGAATTTGCACAGAAACCACTGGAAATTCCTCACCGCATCAGTGTGAACCCAGGATTAAGGCAAACTTTTTTTTTTTTTCTAGTGTTGGATAGGGTGCAGAGGGATTAGAACACCTGTCAGATTTTTGTTGCCTCTGTCCCCATTAGGGAGATTCACCCTCTCTATTAGTCCTGTTTACCATTATCATTAAAAGTAAAAGAAACCTCAAACTTTGGGTTGTCCCCAGAAAAGTTATAGGAAACTTCCCAATGGGGACGCTAGATCTGTTGACCCAGTGGTCCCCAAGGAATGTCCTTAAAAAAAAAAAAAAATCTCCCTGCAAGGTAAGAGCATAATTTGCTAGTATAAATCACATACTAGCATATTATCAAAGACTTACCTCAAACCGAAGCCCTCCAGTGGAGAGATGTCACGGGTCTTCACTCAGTCTTCCTTCCGGATTCGTGAGCTGCAGCCATTTGATTGTCCGAGCCGTGATGTCGTCACTCCCGCGCATGCGCAAAGGGAGTTGCGGGTGCGGCATGGCTCTCTCAATGGACGGTGTGCCATTGAGAGCGCAGTGCACATGCATCGGTGAGGTTACTGACACTTCTACAATAAATATCTTCTAAACGGTGCACGTTTAAGGGATATTTACGGTACCTATAGGTAAGCCTTATTAAAGTCTTACATGTAGGTTAAAGATGCAAAATAGAGTTTACTTCTACTTTAATTTGCAGGGATCCTCTCACTTCCTGTTTTGGCTATGGGACAGGAAGTGAAGGTAAATTTCCCCAATGGGACACAGATTGCAAAAAAAAATAAAATGACGGATTATAACCCTCCCACTCTATCCAAACTGAAGTAAAAAGTTTTGCCTATAGTTCTACTTTAAAGTGCGTTGCAGTTAGGAAGTCCATACATTTGAACAGGCTACCAACACACCATTATAGACTTATTTTTCCTAGCACACACCAACACATAAACTTTTTGAATCTTTGGCTACAGTGACATGTCGGGTTTAAAGTGTAACTGAAGGCAAAACAAAACTTTTTTTTTTTTTGGATATAATGGAGAGGGATTAGAACCCCTGTCAGTTTTCATTGCTGTCTGTGGATCCCTTTGGGGAGATTCACCCTCTCTGTTTGTCCTGTTTACCATTATTGTTGAAAGTAAAAGAAAAATCCAAATTGTGGGTTGTCCCCAGATCAGTGATAAAGATCAAAACTTCACTAGGTAGTTTTGGTAACCCCCTTACTTTGGGGGGGGGGGGATTTTTTCTTTATCAAAATTTCAAACACAGATTGCAAAAAAAAAAACTGAAGGTGTTCTAACCCCCCTTACTTTATCCAAAACGTTTTGCCTTCAGTTAAATTCAAGCAGAACTATCACATGTCCGTTTACATCTCCTACCCATAGACAACAATGGGTAGTCTGTTCGGGTCTGCCTAAAAAATGGATAGATGGACCCAATTGGTCCACCCATGTGAAAGGGCCCTTTGGCCCCGTTCACACCTGAGCAAAACAGAAACAAGTATTTCTGCAAATGTGCAAAAAAATGTGCTAAATGTGGCATGCCACGCACTTGCCATTATTTGTTAATGGCCCCCCTAATGTGGGTAGCAGTTGTGCATTTTTCCGGGCAACAAAACATTTTAAAAATACGCAGCACAAAACTCGCTTAGTTCAGTGCCAAGATTTGGTACATGAGTTTCTTTAGTTTGTTTTTGGAGCGGAGGGAGGCCCATTCAAATAAATGGTACCCTTTCCTTTATATTGTAAGCTCCATGAGCAAGGCCCTCCTATTCCTTCTGTATTGACTTGTATTGTAATTGTACTGTCCCCCTATTTATTGTAAAGCGCTGCATAAACTGTTGGCACTATATATATCCTATATATTCATTGACTTAAACCCAAAAACCCACAATTATAGTGAAAAGATCAAAACCCAAAGAGATTACCCAAAAAATAAAAAATATCAAATATATATAAAAGAACAAAAATAAATAAAGTCCCAATATGCAAAGTGTCCAAATAATGTGTCCAAACAAAGATCAATTTCTTGATAGGAAGACGCTTCCTACTCCACTGAAGAAGATGCAAATCAATCACAGGTGCTCTTCAAATACCTCAAAAAACAAAATCTCAACATAGTATATTACCTTTTAAATCCCAGAACTAACGTGCCACACGTGTATCATGCAAAAAAAAAAACACTCCAGTGTCACAGCACTCATGTGAGAGAAAAAAAAAATTTAAATTTTATAAATATCACTGCAAACTATATATAAAGTGCATAATTACCCTAAAACAAACAAATTCCAGCTTGTAATCAACCACATATGTACAGAGTGTCCTTAGATTGGTATCCTCTTGTTCCTCAGGACCTCACAAACAGACCAGGAATCAGTATGTGAATTATAATCATATATAAAATTTATTGTAGCCACTTACATATAAAAACGATAGGATCAGCAAGACAGCATCCAACTCCTCATGCCCAGTATGCGATCCCTTTCCGTGTGTAGAGGGTCTCCCGATCACCAGGTAATTCCCCCTTGCTACTCCTATCCAGCACTATCACTTTGTAGCTAGCTCTGGGGGACACATGAGTGCCGTGACACTGGAGTGTTTTTTTTTTTGCATGATACACGTGTGGCACTTTAGTTCTGGGATTTAAAAGGTAATATACTATGTTGAGATTTTGTTTTTTGAGGTATTTGAAGAGCACCTGTGATTGATTTGCATCTTCTTCAGTGGAGTAGGAAGTGTCTTCCTATCAAGAAATTGATCTTTGTTTGGACACATTATTTGGACACTTTGCATATTGGGACTTTATTTATTTTTGTTCTTTTATATATATTTTGATATTTTTTATTTTTTGGGTAATCTCTTTGGGTTTTGATCTTTTCACTATAATTGTGGGTTTTTGGGTTTAAGTCAATGAATATATATTTTATTAGTACTTCAGGGGAAGGATATTGATATGACTTTAAGGGATTTTTGAGGATTTTATATATATATATGTGTGCTGATTTATACTTATACTATATATATCCTGTTTATTAATAACAATGTTACCGCTTAAAAAAAAAAAACACACACACAAAATAAAAGTGTGAATGGGGTCTTAGTCACAGATTCAGGATAAGCATGCTGTAAAAAGGGTCAAAATTCCTTCTGTCTCTATACTTGTTCTAGGTTGGTGACTCAGAAAGTATTGAAGCCAAAGCTGAGCTGTGGTAGTATCGTAGTACAGTGATGTCTGTTAGGTGCAGTGTGTTAATGAGCCCCAGTGATAACTATACGTCCTCCTGCACACTGGACGTTTTTACAACTGCTGTTTTTTGTTTTGACATTTTTTCTACAGCCATTAAACTCCCCAGCATGTTATCCTATGTGTCCATGCACACAGACTGTAATCAACGTTTTTTGGCAGGGGTGTTTTTTGCCTGGAAAACAAATAGAACTAGTGGGTTTCTAGAGGAGTTTTTAGCTGTAAAACACTCTAATGCTGAAAAAAATGTGGTAAATCACAGCAAACCAGCGTTTTTGGATGTTTTTTGGGAGCCAAAAAACCTGCTAAAAAACACAAAAAAGTGGCTAAATGCTAATGCAAAAACACGAAAAAAAAAACGCTGAAAAACTCACATTTTTAATGTGATTATACGCAGCTAACGTTACCAGCGTTATTAAAACGCCCGTGTGCATGGAGCCTACAAATAGACATTTTCAGTTTCACACAGTTTTTGATTGCAAGAATGAATGACATGGCCAAAGAACTCTACCACCAACAACCTTGTCTGTTTCAAGTCTTTTTGATGGAAATTGTTGGTGGTAGTTCTTTGGAAGCTTCCTAGGAGAGGTTGAAGTCTAAAACTGACATGTCTCTGAGCAACATAAGTGTGGTTATAAACCTAAAACTGTCATCTGATTTAGCTGAATTTGATGATAATTCTCTTTCCTCTTAGTTAAAGTGGGACTTCATCTGAAAAAGGAAATTCTTCTTTTTCTCCACCTCCCTCCTCCTCTAACACTTTCAAAGGTTTTTTTGTTTTAAATTTCTTACCTAGGTGATCCAAGCAGATTTTCATTTCCCCACTTCCTGCCCGCAACCTACTGGAACACGTCACAGGTCCTAGGAGGCTGCGGGTCTTTTCTCAAAGTACAGTGCGACTTTTGCACGTGCAGTAAGGAGTCTTCTGTGAGGCCACAGCCGAGTCTTTCACATCCAAGATGGCTACGCCGGGGACCTGGACTGTTAGGTGCATGTTTATTAAAAGTCAGCAGGTACAGTATTTGTAGGTGCAGACTTTTATTTTATTTCTTTCCCAGACCACATCCATATTCACCTTGTGCTCATGTCATGCCAAATTCATAGCATGAATATGATTTCTTGGGTGTCCTGAGCATTCACATTTATTGCCTAAGGCTTGAAAAAATGACATTTTCAGGTGGTCAAAGCATTTGTTTGTATCTGACTGTGTTCTGGTGTCTATGGCCAGCTCAACCAACACCTTGATTTTTGACACATATTAGTATTATTGACGATTTTGTGATGTTTTGTTTCTAGATTGACTTACAAGCTCACTAACCAGTAGCTGATGGACCACTGGTAGTTTGCTATTTTCCAGTTGTGTTCTTGTGCATTTATGGTACCGTTGCTTAGTCTCATACACAAGTGACATGCCTCCAGTTAGTAATTAAACAGTTCCTAAACTAGAATCTGCATTGATCTGAAATGTGCAACATTCACAAATATGTGAGCCACATCCTATTCACGTCAGCAGAATAAAGGGGAGGTCCACCAACCACCCTGTACATTCTTAATAATAATCTCAAATATCCTTCTTAGTTAAGTTGCATACTTGTGAAGATTTTTAGTAGCTGCGCTGTAAAACAAGGAAGTACGTTTGCGTGCCAGCATGTGTTTTTTTTTTTTTTTTTTTTTTTTTTTTTTTTTTTTTTTTTTTGTAGTTAACAGGAAATAACTTTTTTTTAGATATCGGCACAAAAAAATACAGAATATATTGTAAAATTGTAGCAAAATACATTTCCCTGTAGTTATGAGACAGATGTGACTTTTTTTTTTTTAAAATAGAGAATTTAGTCTTTTCGAGTGCTGAAAGTTTTTTCTATTTTTGCTGGGTAGGTGGGGAAAATGTGAACAATGTCCTATGACAAAGTGGTAGTCTTGTTGAACGGGTTTGTACATGTGCATTTTCTCACTATGAGTCACAGTTCCTTAGAACAGACTACAAGATGTAACCACAGATGGCTGTAAGTGACATTATATTAACTGCACATGAATTATTCTAAGTTTTTGTTTTTATTGTTTGAGTAGTTCTGCTTGTCACGTGATGTCTACTACTTTTATTCTGAAATATAAACTGCCACACAGGCTGACACTCCAGGCTCCCGAGTTTATGGAAGGATTGTGTTGCTCTCTTGGAGTCTTACTAAGGTTGTCAGCCCTGTCGCAGACGAATGTCAGCTGGAATTTGGTTGCTGTCAACAACAGGATAGCTCCTCATAAATTAGCTCTCTGATATTAACAGAGGTTTTCTTTTCCAGGGGGATGCACACGTTGGCCTTACACGGCCTCAGATGCTATGGAGGAGCCAGCATGGACAATAGCTGTAGCTGAATAACCTAACATGGGTTTGCGATTCATTGCTGGGGTATTCCATCTCCCCACAGCGGTCCTCTATGGCTCCTTGTCGTTTTTTTCCTTTCCGTCCTGCACAATGTTTTCCTTTTGTATTATGTGGACACTTTTGTTTCGGTTTACAAGATCGACAAGTTGTCTTTCTGGATTGGAGAGGTAAGCTGCGATGACCTACTATTGTGTTTATGGCGTAGCAGTGGAGAGAGAAATATTTTGCCGTGACTCATAACAGCAGACTCCACCTCCGCAACATCGCCAAAATCCGCACATTCCTAACCCCAGAAACCACTAAACAGCTCATCCACTCCCTCATCATATATCACGACTCGACTACTGCAACTCCCTCCTCACTGGCCTGCCTCTCCGCTGGCTATCCCCGCTTCAGTCAATCCTGAATACGGCTGCCAGACTCATTCACCTTTCCAACCACTCCGTTTCCGCCACCCCCCTCTGCCAATCCCTCACTGGCTTCCGGCAACGGATCAAATTCAAAATCCTAACGCTGACGTACAAAGCTGTCCACCATACTGCCCCAAACTACATCACCGACCTAATATCCAAGTACCACCCAACACGCACACTCCGCTCCTCACAAGACCTCCTTCTCTCTAGTTCCCTGGTCTCCTCCTCCTATGCCTGCCTCCAGGACTTCTCCAATGTGTCACCCATCCTCTGGAACTCCCTGCCCCAACCCATCAGATTATCACCTACCCTTCTCTCCTTTAGGCGCATCCTGAAAACCCATCTCTTCAGGGAAGCCTACCCCACCCCCTGCTAACTTGCCAACCTCCTCCACTCTTCCTACCACTCCATCCCCAACAGCTTTCTCCTCCTGTGCCACCATCCCCTCCCTCCTACATTGTAAGCTCGAAAGAGCAGGGCCCTCGATCCCCTCATGTGTTGCATTGTATTGTTGTTCTGTCACATGTTCTGTCCCCCTTTGTAATGTACAGCGCTGAGTGAACTATTGGAGCTTTATAAATACTGTATAATAATAATAATGACACTGGATATAGGGTATACCAATTTTCCTTTTGACTTTTCATGAGAATTTTCTTTGGCCAGTTTAATGGATGGCTTACAATAGTGTGTAAAGCAGCTGCAGTACATGTGAGGCCAGGACTCCTGACTGATGGGTGGCTTATGAAGCTGTATAGCAGTAACATTGCATGTAAGGCTCAGACTCATCACCAATGGATGATTTCAAAACCTGTATAGCCTTAGCAGTGCATGTGAGGCCCAGACATATGACTAACTGATGGCTTACAATGGGGTGTTTCTGGACCCTGTAACCTAGGGCATGTGTCTCAGGTCGTCTTAGATGGGATAGCCGCATTAGTTTCCTTTTTTAGGCTTGCTTTCCTCTAGTTTCATCTGGTGATCTGGCCAGTAAGTCTGTTGTTTTTCAACAGAAAACTTTTGCAGTTACAGGAATAAGCTAAACCATTTATCACTGGCAGGGGTGCTTAATATTATCAGCTTATTTTTATGTAAATTCTTTATTCCTAAAGGAAAGAAACTGCTATATCTGATTATAAAGTATTATTCAATTTGCTACTGTATTCAAATCTGCTAGTACATCTAACACTTCTCTCCCCCCACACTCACAAAAGTTTTTTTTTTTTTTTTTTTTTACCTAAAAGTGGTTCTAAAGGCTGAAGGTTTTTTACCTTCATGCATTCTATGTGTGAAGGTAAAAGCTTCTGTGTACTGCTCTCTCCACAGCCCCTCTAATATTTACCTGAGCCCCCTCTCGATCCAGTGATGTGCATGAGAGCATAGGCTGTCCCGGTTCTCTCTCTCCTCATTGGCTTAGACACAGCAGTGGGAGCTATTGGTTGGCTGTGTGCAAAACTATTGCATGGAGCTGGTAGTTATGACGTGTTTATTATTTAAAGAAAAAAAATTACCGTATTTTCCAGCGAATAAGACGACTTTTCAACCCCTGAAAATCTTCTGAAAAGTCGGGGGTCGTCTTATACGCCGGTGCGAGCTGGTGTCAGGGCGGCACTTTTTCGAGGGGCGGCGCGGCGCCGCCCCCCCTCCTCCTCCAACGGACACTAAGTGCAGGGGTGGGCAGAGGGGCTGCTGTACCTTACCTGGCTCCGGTCCCACGACGATCCGGTCCAGGAAGCGCGGCTGCTCCTTCTTTCAGTTCGGCCGCTCGATGGTCACACGGCCGCCGCTCGGCTCCGCCTCCTCACCGGTGATTGGGCGCCAGCACTCGAAAGGCACACAGGCGACCAATCACCGGCGAGGAGGCGGAGACGAGCGGCCCCACGAAAATCGAGCGGCCGAACTGGAAGAAGGAGCAGCCGCTCCTCTCCCCCACTGACACTAACGATGGGGCACTATTCCTCTCCCACTGACACCAAACGATGAGGCCCTGTTCCTCCCCCACTGACACCAATGATGAGGCCCTGTTCCTCCCCCACTGACACCAATGATGAGGCACTGTTCTCCCCACTGATACCAATGATGGGGCACTATTCCTCCCCCACTGATACCAACGATGGGGCACTATTCCTCCCCCACTGACACCAACGATGGGGCACTATTCCTCCCACTGATGCCAACGATGGGGCACTATTCCTCCCCAACTGACACCAACGATGGGGCACTATTCCTCCCCAACTGACACCAACGATGGGGCACTATTCCTCCCCCCACTGACACCAACGATGGGGCACTATTCCTCCCCCCCCACTGACACCAACGATGGGGCACTATTCCTCCCGCTGATACCAACGATGGGGCACTATTCCTCCGCTGATACCAACGATGGGGCAGTATTCCTCCCCCACTGACACCAACGATGGGGCAGTATTCCTCCCCCACTGACACCAACGATGGGGCAGTATTCCTCCCCCACTGACACCAACGATGGGGCAGTATTCCTCCCCCACTGACACCAACGATGGGGCAGTATTCCTCCCCCCACTGACACCAGCGATGGGGCAGTATTCCTCCCCCACTGACACCAGCGATGGGGCAGTATTCCTCCCCCACTGACACCAGCGATGGGGCAGTATTCCTCCCCCACTGACACCAGCGATGGGGCAGTATTCCTCCCCCACTGACACCAACGATGGGGCAGTATTCCTCCCCCCACTGACACCAACGATGGGGCAGTATTCCTCCCCCACTGACACCAACGATGGGGCGCTATTCCTCCTCCCCCACTGACACCAACGATGGGGCGCTATTCCTCCTCCCCCACTGACACCAACGATGGGGCGCTATTCCTCCTCCCCACTGACACCAACGATGGGGCGCTATTCCTCCTCCCCACTGACACCAACGATGGGGCGCTATTCCTCCTCCCCGCTGACACCAACGATGGGGCGCTATTCCTCCTCCCCGCTGACACCAACGATGGGGCGCTATTCCTCCTCCCCGCTGACACCAACGATGGGGCGCTATTCCTCCTCCCCGCTGACACCAACGATGGGGCGCTATTCCTCCTCCCCGCTGACACCAACGATGGGGCGCTATTCCTCCTCCCCGCTGACACCAACGATGGGGCGCTATTCCTCCTCCCCACTGACACCAACGATGGGGCGCTATTCCTCCTCCCCGCTGACACCAACGATGGGGCGCTATTCCTCCTCCCCCACTGGGGCGCACCTCCTCCCCGCTGACACCAACGATGGGGCGCTATTCCTCCTCCCCACTGACACCAACGATGGGGCGCTATTCCTCCTCCCCGCTGACACCAACGATGGGGCGCTATTCCTCCTCCCCCCACTGACACCAACGATGGGGCGCTATTCCTCCTCCCCACTGACACCAACGATGGGGCGCTATTCCTCCTCCCCCGCTGACACCAACGATGGGGCGCTATTCCTCCTCCCCGCTGACACCAACGATGGGGCGCTATTCCTCCTCCCCGCTGACACCAACGATGGGGCGCTATTCCTCCTCCCCACTGACACCAACGATGGGGCGCTATTCCTCCTCCCCACTGACACCAACGATGGGGCGCTATTCCTCACACACTGACATAATGATGGGGCACCATCATTGGTGTCAGTGGGAGGAATAGTGCCCCATCATTGGTGTCAGTGGAGGAGTAGTGCCTCATCATTGGTGTCAGTGGCAGGAATAGCACCCCATCATTGGAATACCATACTGAAATAGCATACCATATTGAAATCAAATCTGATGTTTTTTCATTTTTATTTGGTGTGCGTTGGAAGAGGGGTAGTCTTATACGGCGAGTATAGCTCAAACCCTATATTTTAGCAGGAAAAGTAGGGGGTCGTCTTATACGCCGGAAAATACGGTAGTTACTTAATCACTTTAAGCACAGTTTTCAATCAACATGAGAGCCAAGGAACCAGCTGGAAGCTGATATGACATTATGAGATGTGCAGCTCAGGTATGCGGCTCATGGCAATCTCTCATTTCTTAAAATATTTTTGTACACTGACTACGTGGCAATAGCCAGGCTCACTGTCTTTTTTTTTTTTTTTTTTTTTTTTTTTCCTGAAATGGTTTTGTTTTACCTTTTGACTACATTCATAATGGTTTACTGTTATTTTATATATCTTTTTTTTTTTTTTAACAAAAGTTTTATTGAATTAAAATACTTGATAAAAAGTTAATATTGCTGAACATGGAGGGAAAGCTACGGTTAAAGGTGATGTCCACTAAACATTTGATATTTCATTTATGGGCACCTAGTGCTTTGGGTAAATCACCTGATGGTTTTTTATTACTCAAAGGCTCCAGTAGTAAGAAATTCCTGCATTGGCTCCCAGCTTTGATCCGTTGACATTGGCGTGCAAAGCTGATGTCTTACTACTTCTGCTGCATTCTTTGAAATGCAAAATAAATGAATAAAAGAGAAGCACAAGGGAGGGTGAGATTACCTAAAGGTGGGAATACACGATTAGAAAAAATAGACCGATCGGCCATCCAACCACTGAGAGGCGGTCGAAATTGTGGCCCACATTAACCAATCTAAAAAAATTGTTCGTCGGGCAATACGTAGTGTTGACATCCTCCGTGCAGTGGAAGTGATGCAGTGTGCGTGTGACCTTGTAGCCACGCCCTTCCGGCCAGAACGAGCGATATACACAACAATTACCAGCAATGAGTAGAATATAGTTTATCACATTAACAATATACATAAATAGTGATACATAAAATATAATATGCAGATTTCTGGTTTCATTATCTCATTAGGCCAATCTACTTTTAACATTTGGATTTTTCATTCGTGTTCACGAAGATTCCTTGGACATAAACATCCGGGTCATCTTCTGTTTCCACTCATGCATGATAGCGCTTGATCGATTTTTTTCATACGACCGCATAGAAAATCGGTTGTTCGTATGCAAAACAACAACATTTTTCACTGTTGTTCAACCAGATTTTTTTGTTCACAATATCGTTATCGTTTAAAACATCCTGCTCATCAACAACGAAAAATCATTCGATCAGTGGTTCCACTAAATTTTTCGGACGATTTTCTTATCGTGTGTGCGGGGCGTAAGGAAATAGCTGTGGCAATCTGAGGGACCTGGTAATTTGGTTGTGAAGACCTCACAGGTGGAGTCTGTGAGATACATGTGGAAACTAATAGGTAGACAGTTCTTCAGTATCCACCTAAAACTGAAATGTAGTTTGGGTGATTTTTAGCTTTCAGAAATGTTGACATATCTCCAGGCTTTCAGTTTACATGCAAAAAAAGTAAAAAAAAGTGCTTATAAATCTTAAATTAGTACATGGGCTATGGGTAGGATTCTGGGATCCAACCTTTTGTACACCTTGTTGAAGCTATGCCTGGATTAACTGACATCTCCAGCAACTATTAAGCTGTCAGTAAGTGTAGACTCTGCACCAGAACAGGACTATTAGTTCTTTTATTGTATGTAATTGTAGACCATTATTCATAGAGATTATGAAATGTACCACTGTATGTAAAGAAGTTCAATCATCCAGCCTGTTAACCTGTACTAGAAAATCATAGTATAAAATGTTATTGGTATCTAAAGCTAATGTCCACATATTTCTTTGTTGTCCAATTTTGTGATGTTCACCCACCATAATCAATGTTCCCTCCGTTTTGCAGACTGTATTTTTAATATGGAACAGCTTGAACGACCCCCTGTTTGGATGGTTAAGTGACCACATCTTTCTGAGCACAAAACAGTAAGTATGACAGCTTTGTAAAAGAAGCGCTAGTCAGGTTTTCCTTATGTAGTATACAGGTTGATACTAAATTTGTTAAATATACGAGTTCCCCTTGGGAGATGTGCTCTGCGTCCCGCCAAAGTGTTGGTGTGATCAAACTATCTTTGATGTCAGTCTACACTTACTTTGGAGCTGCTGTCATGGAGTAAGCATCACATTACAAGGACAAAGCTTACTTCCTCTTTCATCTTTCCATCTCTGCCTCAAAAGTTTTCAGAGACTTTCAATCTATACAGATCAGTGCAGACGAGGAAGATTTCTCATATCCCATCACTAGCATGCCAAAAAGCCTGAGCTATATCTTACCGCTTGTTGTAAATGGGAGCAGGCTATCCTAACCAGATGTTACTCTGGTTCACACATATGCGTTTTGAAATTGCATTGCAATTTATGCATGCATTTCTGTGTGAATACCATTGCCGTTTCAGTATGGTGCGATTTTCAGTAGAGGTGCAGGGATGTTGGATTCCTATCGCCCGACGCCCGGGACATGTAGTTCCAGGCGCCGGGCAGGTAGATTCTTTCTACCTTTTAGCCCTGCTGCGGGCAAGTTGCAGGGCTCACCTGTCAGGAGAAGCAATCGGTGCCAGCCTCTCTGCACCCCCGGCGTGAGGTCTCCCGGGCTCCACTTGTTCATCTGTGGGCCCGGCTCGCCGTCGGCTAGAGAGGAGGGAGAAGATCAGACAACTCCGCTCCCCTCTCCTTCTTGTGCTGACCTGGAAGTGACGTTATGAAGTCTCTTCCAGGCGATGTGCACCACATTACATTCAGTGGAGCAGAGGGGAGACATCCAGGGTCTTTTAAACCTTGGATGTCTAAAAGAGAACTTGTCACCAAAAATCTTCACATAGGGAACTTTGTCCCCTATGTGATGATAAAAAAAAAGTAAAAAAAAAAATATATATATATATTTTTTTTTAATTGTAAAAAAATGAAAGTTACACCCAAGCACATACCATTTCCTCCCCCCCCCTCCAAAAAAAAATATTAAGGCCCCCACATATGAGCACGTACAAACGTAAAAGCACATGCTGGGGAGCCTACGCATGAAACCGTCAATTGTGATACATGTTACATATCGCCACACATGCCAAAATGAGAGCAATAATTCTAGCACCAGACCTCCGTAACACTAAACTGGTGACCTATAAGGAGCTTTAACCACTTGAGCTCCTGAGGATTTACCCCCCTTAATGACCAGGCATTTTTTGCTGTTTGGCGCTGCACTAATTCAAATGATAATTTCGCGGTCATGCAATGCTGTATCAAAACGAAATTTACGTCCTTTTTTTCACACAAATAGAGCTTTCTTTTGATGGTATTTTATCATCTGTGCGCTTTTTATTTTTTGTGCTATAAACAAAAAAAACACAAAATTTTGAAAAAAAAACAATATTTTCTACGTTCAGCTATAAAAAATATATCGTAAACTCAAAGTTAGTCATAAATTTAAGCCAAAATATATTCTGCTACATGTTTTTGGTAAAAAAAAATCCCGTGCATTAGCGGGCAAACTGGCGCTATATGGGAGGGGCGCTAACACTATCGGAAGTCACCAGTGACACTAATACAGTGATCAGTAAAAATCTGTTCACTGATCAGTGACACTGGTGACAGGGCAGTGAAGGGGTTAACTGGGGGGGGGGGGGGGGCGATCAAGGGGTTAAACGGGATTACTGGTGTACTGGCGGGCAATCTGGCACTATCTGGGAGGGGCGCTAACACTATCGGAAGTCACCAGCGACACTGATACAGTGATCAGTAAAAATCGGTTAACTGATCAGTAATACTGGTGACAGGGCAGTGAAGGGGTTTACTGGGGGGGGGGGGGGGGGGCGATCAGGGGGTTAAATGTTACCTAGGTGTGTTCTAACTGTAAATGTGTAGTGTTTTACTCACGTTTACGGTGTCTTCTTCTCTGTCTGGAACGGAATGTGTCCAGGCAGAGAAGAATGACATCATATCCTGTCCTGTGTAAATGTCAACACAGGACAGGATAGGACAGGGACCGATCATCTGATTTCAGCCAGACATCACTGGCTGAAATCTAATGATTGATCCCTCCGGGATCGAATGGTGTCACCCCGCGGGTCGGCGGGAGCGCGCGCGCGCGCCCCCTGCCGGCAAAAACGTCGGGAGCGCGGGACCCGTTTTAAAACGTGGTTTTGCGCCCCAGTGCCGCCCTGCACACGTGTATATATACAGTGGCAGGGCGGCAAGCGGTTAAAAGTGTCGACCTATAGAAAATCTGGGGGACTGAAGTTCGTTGCCATTTCACGAGCACACACAAATTAAAGGTTTGACAAGTTGGAGATCTATTTACTCGATGCAACCTCATCTTTTATATGTTAAAAAGAATAAGGCAATTTATTGCTTTTTTTGCCCTAAAATTAACTTGTATTTTCTACTGAAATTTTGCAGTAAAATCATGCGACATAAAAAATTGGAAAATATATCATGTTTGGGATTTTTATGTAATCTTCAGGCCTAAAATTTTTTAAACGTGTGCAAAAACGCAAAAAAAAAAATGGCTCTGGCAGCGAAAGTGATAAAGGAGAAGCTCTGACCTACCCTTTCCTGATGAGCAGCCAATCAGTGCTGATTACACTGCAAGGTCTCAACTCCCTGCTAGTCCCTGGGTGCGATGCTGGAGACAGGCAGGGAGGGGAGGAGGAGATAAACAGAGCAATGTTAAAAACATTACACGTTTTAAGTCGCCATAAAGCCCCAGACATTCCTAAAACCACCTCCGATTTAAATACGGTTTTGGTTAAAAAAAAAATTTTTTTCATCTGCACAAGTAGATTGTCATGAGGGACAAGTAGATTGGGGCCCCGATTTTGTCCTGGACAAGTAGTTTTACAAAAAAAATTTCCACACCCCTGAGGTGCAATTTTTGGCTTCAGCGTGCTTCATTGGATATTCTCTCACCTTCCATTCACTTCAGTGCAGAAATCAACTTCAGTGCAAAAATGGCTGACCGGCTGTGAATCGCAATCCAATGTGAACACATTCACATGCCTCTATGACTTACAGATTTTGAATGCACTGCTCCAGTCTTGCACAGGACCCTTTTTTGAATCATACTAAAACCTCAATGCGCATAGATCACATCAGTGTGACTGACCTCAATAGGAACACATATCATCTAGCCTGTCATGCTTATCTGTGCATTTAGAATTGCATCATTTAAATGCCATGAAATACAACAGGACTGTTGTCACGTGCAGGCTTGATTCCGAGCTGGGCTGTGCACATCCATTGACACATGCAGTGTGTCTCAGCCCCTAGACCCTGCTCCCTCCTCACTGGATTTGTCTGATAGTGGCAAGAGCCAATGGCTCTTGCTGCTCTCAGCCAAGCCTGTGAGAGAGAGGAGAGAAGACCGACAGACGAGCACAACGCTGGATCTGGGGAGTAGGGAGGGGGGGGGTGGACAGACACCGAAAGTTTTTTTTTTTTTTTTCTTTTTTTTTTTTTTTTTTTTTCTTGCCTTGATGCATAGAATGCATTAAGGTAAAAAAAAAATTATGTCTTTCGAACCACCTTAACATTTGGTTTAATAACTGTTTAGGTCCAAAACTTTGCAAAGCATTTGGTGACCATATGAAATCCCTGTCACTGATTCCCTTCCCTGCTTGATATGAGTATGGAAATCTGAATTGGGATGGAAACAGATGCATAGTTTTCTGTGGTGTCAACTACTGCCATTTAAAAAATGCAGATACCTTTATTTAGATATTAACCAGATGTTTATCATTGTTGCTGGGGTTGGTAAGTAAAGAGTAAAATAATTGAAATACTTGCCTTTGTCCTTGTTCTTGCCACATAGCAGGGATTGTTCTTTAAAAGACCATCATGGTAACTGAGTTTTCTTGTTCCAGGTCCAATGTAGATATCTCAACTCCTGATGTGGTGCTGAAGAGGCTCAGGGCTTTGGGAAGAAATGGACCATTGTTTGCACTCTCATTCCTGGCTTTCTGGGTGTCTTGGGCCCATCCTGGTTTACAGTTCCTCATTTGTCTCTGCCTGTATGACAGCTTCCTCACTATGGTCGATCTCAACCACAATGCCTTGTTGGCAGACCTAGCTGTCTCAGCTGTGGAGAGGACTAAACTGAACTTCCATTGTTCTCTGTTTAGTGCTGTTGGTTCTCTGTCAGTTTTTGCATCTTATACTGTGTGGAATAAGGAAGACTTTTTCTCATTCCGAATATTTTGTGTGATCTTGGCAGCTGTTTCTGCCCTTGGATTTACAGTGTCAACATGGCTGCTTAGACAGCGCTTCCAGACAGGAGGTAGTACTGTCAGTGACCGGGATATACTGAAAGAGTAAGTGATGCCTTGTAGCTAAAAGGTTGTACAAACTACAAAAGAGATTGAAAAACCACATTAGCTATGGTGCTGTGTACTATATGGCCAAAGGTATGTAAAAACCCCTCCAAATTATTAGGTTCAGGTGTTTTCAGTAAAAGGTACTGTTAATGCTGCAGCATACAGAGACATTTTAGACAATTTTGTAAATTTACCCATGTGGCAACACTTTAGAGAAAAGGCCCTTTTCTGATCCAGCATGACTGGCACAAAGCCAGCCTCATAAAACCCATGAAGGAACGTGGGTGGCCTGACCTCAACCCTACTGAATACCTTTGGGATAAATTGAAATGCTGACTGTGAGTCTGGTCTTCTTGCTAAACCTCACTGATGCTGTTTTCCCTGACTAAGCATACAGACAACTCCAAAATTGTGTGGAAAGCCTCCCCTGAAGAATGGAGACTGTTATAGCCTCAAAACAGGATCAACGTCATGCTTTTCAAATGGGATGCCTAAAAAGCTTATCTAGGTGTAATGGCCAGGTGTCCACTAACTGTTGGCCATATATTGTATGTAAATTTGAGCTGCATGCTCTTGGACTGACAGGACAGATGGGACCCTTTAAATGGACACATTTTTTTTCTACTAGTCACCCAAACTGAAAAATCATTCAGAGCCCGTTCACACTAGAAAATAGTGCAAGAAACAGATGTTCCATGTGTGTTTCCTGCACCGCATTCAAAACTCACTGCAGTTGCAATCTGTAGCAGGTGTCAATAATACTTTAATGGCACCCTAAATGCAGGACACAAACACGGTGCTTTTGCCTGCACCAGATTGCATGGCACAAAAGTACCATGTGATTCGTTGCAATGCATTTGCAAAGGTAGTTCAAATGCACTGCACAGAACTGAATGTGAATCGCAGAGTAATGCACAATGCATTCCTGTTTGATTCCCAGCCCCAACTGTTGAACTTCTCAGCCATAAGCACACACTAGTTGCTGATGGAGTTTTGCTGTATTGTGCTTGAATATGAAGCAATGGAACCATGCCGCCTATCTTCCACACTTGAATATAGTGTAGGTACACTACAGCTCTACTGCCTGTAGAGAGAAAGCAACAATGCTTGAGCCGCACCGCAAACAGACACCTAGTCACTGGAGCATTTCCTGCCGCTCCAGACCTTTCTCAACACAAAAAGGTATCTTTGCCCTCAAATTGGCCTTTTCTATGGGTTTCCGAGGTCTGAATTATCTGCTCCTTATTAGGTGTCATAAGAGAATGAAATGATTTTAGGAAAAGATTAAGATAACAACACACATCTGAAGGCCATAGTTTAACTTGACTCATCTGTGTTTAAATGTTTTAGCTTGGTTTTCCATAGCAATGGCTCTTGGTTCCTAAAATATGTTTATTATCTACCTAGGCGACAAACCTATTCTTTATTCTTAGCTGTACAATACTTAATCCTTTCTCAAGTGTTAACTTAGACATTTCTTTAGCAGTTTAAGTAGAGAGATGTGTCATTCTGAGCTATGTGAGGGTTTCTTTACCCGTCAACCTTACATAATATTTTAAAGTGGCCTGTAAGAGGCTGGCTTTGTTCATTCTTCATGGTGTGGCCACCCTCTCTTGCTCCTGAGATGGACTAGAAACTATGGAATTTGCAGTGTGCATAGAGGGGGGGAAGGAGAGGTTCAGGAGTTTGTAGAGGACATTACAGAGAAGCAGCAAAACACAGTGAGACATGATTTCATGAAAAATAGTATAAAGGGCCATTGGACAGTAGATGTGTATGGATTATTTTTGGAGAATTATATTGTATAGTGTCACAGAAAGCATTGTGTAAGTGAGGAAATCATTGACGTTTTCCCCATATCTGCAAACACACACTATATTTTATAGGTTCCCCCTAAAACTTTAGAGAGATGATAGAAAGAAAAACACAGCAAAATATGCTTTTTATACACTTTTCTATTTAGGGTAATTTGTCTTATGAAGTACCAGGTAACAAGGAGACGTATAATTTAAGGTATGGCTGGTGCCTACTCACATTGAGGACAGTTATTTTAATTGCTGCTTTAACGTGAATCGGTGTACAGACAATGCGCTTTAAAATATCTACATATTCTGAACAAGTAAAAGCACTTTAACCTCCCTGGCGGTATTCCCGAGTGTAGCTCGGGGTAAAGTTTCAGTACCAAAAGCGGTAACCCCGAGCTACACTCAGGCTTACCATGCAGCGGTGCTCAGGGATTCCCTGCAGCGCTTACCTTGTCCTTCGCCCTCACAATGCGTCCCCTGCAGCGTCCCCGGCCATCGCCTCCTGGCCGATGCCGGCTTCCGTGTTCCGGCCCCTGCGAGTGTCGGGACGTATGGAGGCCGGAACTGGCAGCAAATTTAAAAATTTTAAAAACTAATTTTCTTATAAACGAATATTACATAGTAAAATATTACGGTTTCAAACCTTTTCACATACATTTTGTCCCGAGTGCTTTGTCCTGTGCCCTGCCTGCATTTTTACTGTTCTTTCTGCCTGGAAATTTAGAAAAGTCCATGGCGTCCAAAAAAGCGTCCCTTTATGTCAAAAGCGTTTTTTAGATTAGCTAGAGAACAGCGATAGTAAATCAGAACTACTGGCAGAATTGAGTGATAATGATTAGTGGGGGAAATTCATCATCAGACACTGAAAACAATTCTGCGACTGAGCTCAGTGATGTGCGAACTTGGTGCTATATTTTAAAATTATAATTTATGATTTTGTGTTTTAAGTTTTATCCTACCTGGGATGTTTACTAGACTCTTGTTCGGACAGATTTCAATGAGTTATTCCTAAAAATTACAGGCCTACAATAAAAAAACGACATATTTCCATGCCAAAAAATGTACCGCTTTCAGCACAGAAATATGGACATAATCAGACCACTAGGGGAGGTTAAAGCAAGCCCTCATTCGTATCTACAAGCATTATGGAGAAAATACATTTTCAAAGTTCACAATATGTATGGGAAGGGGGAAGAGTATGTGCTGATGGAGAGGGATCACCAATGCAAACATTTCTGTTAGCCTTTAAAAAGAACATGTACTTGACCTGGACAGCTTTCCTTTTTGCAGGAAAATAATGATGTGCTTTTTGTCTTTTTTTTTTTTTACATGAGCCTGCAGAGCATTGCACCCTCGATCAGCAGATTGTGGGTCCAGTGTTGGACTCCTGCAGACAGGCCTTACAGCTTTCTGCCTGTACCTCTGTATGGGTTTTCAGTTTGACAGCTGCAGGACTTTTCAATGAACAAGGGCACTCATAATCACCCTCACAGTTCATTTAGAACTACAGGCCGTCTGCCTTAGTTTTCTCATGCACAGATTATCATGAATGAATGACAGGACTGTACAGGTACAGCCCTTCAGAGCTGCGCCGTTTTCAAAATATAACAGCGGATGCGGGGAGATGAATGCCCATGCACTGTCACAGGGAGAGGGGTCCTACAGGAGGCAGGGGAAAGGGAGCATGTTACACCTTAACCTTCCTGGCAGTAATCCCGAGTGTAACTTGGGGTTAATTTCAGTACCAAAAGCGGTAACCCCGAGCAACACTGCAGCGATCCCTCGAGCCTTACCTTGTCCCTTGATCCCGCAAGGTCCACCTGCTGTGTCCCGCAACCATGTCCGCCGGTCGATGCCATTCTCCGGGTTCTGTTCCCTGCGAACGTCAGGACGTACGGGGGGCGGAACCGGTGGGAGATTCAAAAAAGTAAAAATTTTCATACACACAATAGACTGTAATCTGTTAGTATTACATTACTGTGTCATACCATTTCATCTAAATTTTGTCCCGAGTGCTTCGTCCTGTGCCCTGCCTGCATTTTTACTGTTCTTTCTGGCTGGAAACTGAGAAATGTCCATGGCGTTCCAAAAAGCGTCCCTTTAGGTCAAAAGCAGTTTTAGACCAGCTAGAGAACAGCGATAGTAAATTAGAATCACTTGCAGAATTGAGTGATAATGATTCATGGGGGAAATTCGTCATCAGACACTGAAAACGATTTTGCTCAGTGATGTGCGAACTTGGCGCTCTGTTTCAAATTTCAGTGTTTTTGGTTTGATTACATTATTGAATTACATTTATTATTCTTATATTATTTTTTATAATTATTTATTATATTATAATTTATGAATTTGTGTTTCAAACTTTATCATACCCGGGATGTTTACTAGACTCTTGTTTGGACAGATTTCAGTTTGTTATTCCTAAGAATTACAGGCCTACAGTCTGCTTGAGGTGATTGTAGCCGTATTAGTGCATTTGTGACAAACAATTGAGTACTGTCCATGATACTTTTTTTATTTGCACTAACATACAATTTTGAGGACAAGCTTTCGGGGAGTGTCCCCTTCTTCAAGGTCCAAGCAGTACTATACCATATGGTAAATATGGTATAGTACTGCTTGGACCTTGAAGAAGGGGACACTCCCCGAAAGCTTGTCCTCAAAATTGTATGTTAGTGCAAATAAAAAAAGTATCACGGACAGTACTCAATTGTTTCTGTAGGCCTACAGTCTAAAACAACAAATTTCCATGCAAAAAAATGTACCGCTTTGACATTCAAAAATATTGATTAGTTAGACCGCCAGGGAGGTTATATATGGGGGTAATATGTAACATGCTGCTAAACGTGAAGTTATACTTTAGGGTAAGAGTCAGGGACATGTGGGGAGACGTGCTAATTTGCTTCCAGTGCTCACCCATCTCACACCAAGAAGTACCAGTACTAAGTTCTCAGTACTTAATTTCAGTAACAGCATGTACAACAAAGACTCATTAAAAATGTTTCTTGCTGTGACAGAAATGTAGCAAGTTTTGTGTCTCACATCCTGTAGGAGTGCCATCTTTTGAGGTTGGTGCTGAATGCTCCATTGTTCATGAACTGTGATGTATCATTTTTTTTTCTCTTTATCTACAGACTGTATGTGGAGGAATCCTCGGTTTCCCCTGAGAAAAAGATAACCCTTCTGGAATACCTCAGACAGCTGTCCAGACATCGCAACTTCCTTTGGTTTGTCTGTATGAATCTGGTGCAGGTGAGAGCACTTTGGTAAATCATTGAATTGTTCGCTGTCTATGGGGTAGGTTTGATTATATTCTGGTACCTCTATCAGAAAGTTTATTGACCTGCTGGAATCATTTTGGTTGATTGGTCATGGTTATAGACCTCATTGCAGAGGTTCATGTGACTTGGTGACTTGTACATACTTAAAAGATACAAGCATAGTTTTGCATGTGAATAGTGGGGGAAACCTAGGTGGGATTTATACAAATAGAATTTTTCCATAATGATGTACTTTTTAGTTCTGGAATGTAAAACGTTCCTGGCAAATTATGTTTGGAGTGCTATGATCCACAGGCATGCACTGGTATGGATGGATGCTGGTTTTTTCTAATGGGCATCGGAATACAGCTGGTATTGAGACCTGACTCAGCCTTATGATGTTTGCAGGCACAGGCTATGCCATAAATAAGGATGCCTGGTTTACATGAGTGCTTTAGTTTAGCCTATGGTAGAAGGAAGGAGAGGGTTATGTAGACCATACCCAGGATTTTCCCCGAGGGAATAATAGCAGTTGGGCACAGCTGTCTAATCTGTCTTTATTACAGATGTCTGAGGGCTCCCCATACTCCTATAGCACTGTATTAGGAGGCTTTTACATGTCTTTAGATGTCTATGGGAATATTTATTCTCAGTAGATAAAAGAATGAAAGTTTTTTTTTTTTTTTTTTTTTTATTCTTTGTAAACTTCTAGCCCATGGCAACAAATTGGGTCTAGTTGACATTTTACTAGTAAGTTAGAAAACTCAACTGAGACGTGTTCTCTATACTTGAAATCTATGTGGATATGGGACACAGGCTCATACCCTATGCCCATAGAACAGAAGCCTGTTAGTGTACACAGGATCCACTCGTGTTTGGAGTTTTGTAGAGCCTCTGAATCAACAGTCTGTAGGCTGAATGAAAAAAATCTAACATAGTCCTTCATTCACACTAAACAGCACAGATGGACGAATCTCTAGCAGCGGCCATTGCATTCATATATGTAAAGTGCTGCGTAAATTGACAGTGCTATATAAGTACCTGTAATAAATAAAAATAAATAAAATACAGCTGACAGCCGACTGTCAAAATACTCAAATAGAGCATAGATCTGATTGGATGCAGGTGCTGCTCAGCTGTTTTACGTCTGGCTCCTTATATTTTGCAATCAAATGATGTCAGGTGAGCAGGTGCCAACAAGGGAACCATGGTGGGAATTTCAGATCTCCACTGGTTCATAGGGGACTGACTGAAATTCGTTTTGTCTGTGGCTGGCTTTAGATTCAATGATAGGTGTACCTAATGACTGTATAAAGGCATTTGTTGCTAAATTTCTTCTTTGTTTTGCAGGTTTTTCACTGTCACTTTAACAGTAATTTCTTCCCCCTCTTCCTGGAGCATTTATTGTCTGACAGAATCTCAGTTTCTACTGGATCTTTTTTGCTAGGTAATTTTCATCTCTTCTATATGTAGATGTTGTGTTTCCATAATCCTCTGTAATGGTTTGCCTGGCTGTGTACATGGCATAGTAACAGAGGGGTAAGAGATTAGTCCCTTTTGGATATAAAATAATATTGTGATTAGGTGGAAATAGGGGATTTAAAACCGAAATGTAGGCTGCCAGAGCCAGTTACCGTAGCTGGCTCTGGCTCCAGTGTTCTCTGAATCATCTATCAAGAACAAGCAGACTGCCATTAAGTTCAGAACACCAGATCAATTGCTCGCTCCCTTTCACTGGCTCAGTGGCCTTTTGATCAGCAAGTTAGCAAGGCAACTAGAATTTTCAAAAAGAGAAGTTGGCTGTGATGGCTTACACATGTCTCTCAGCATGGGTTCTCTATAAAGTGAATCTGGGGACATAGTAAAGAAATGGGAATATCTTGAAAAGCTGGTACATTTATGTTTCCTTACAGTGCTCTCAGCACTCTTTTTTTTTTTTTTTTTTTTTTTTTTTTAACATTCTTTATTTTAATTTTGAAAAGTTTCACAGAATGGGAACAATATCACTACTAATAATACTTGGTAAATATTCATACGGTTCTGCACGTAGAGGTATAAAGGAAGTTAACAAACCTTGCACAAAATGCATATTGATAATTGTATATGCATGCTTCCTTTTCGAGTAAACCAGGACCCTGTCAAGCAGGAACATCAGTCTACTCAATTCTGTATTCCAAAGTGAATTGCTGTATCAGTATAACTCAAGTACTTGCAACTGCGATTTTGAGACTCCAGTATTACTGTCTGAAGGAAATAAAGTAAAAGAAGATGGGGAAACTAAAGAAAGTGGTAGTCCATTTGTAACGGGGTGGATTATGGGGGAATAGTAAATGAAGTCAATGAGGAACTTTCGCCCTATCAGTTTGATAATAATGTTCTTTAACAAAAGAGAATACATTACCCATTAATAGATATGCTACCATAATTTGTGTGTGCTGTGAATTGCCTCCAACATTGCTCCTGTCTCCTCTTGCTAGAGACCTCCATTTTGATGAAGCCCAGTGCAGTCACTTCCATATCAGAAACTCTCCCCTTCTCTTTGGTCTCAAAAACTATATGTTTCTTTCTTCATTTAAAATTTGTACATTTCCAGCCTTGATTGTGTGTATTGGCTCAGTTAGAGAGAAACAAAGTTCACAGGCTGCCTATGAGGGAGAAAGGAAGGAGATAAGATAAGACACCATCCTTGTAAGTTTAACTCTTTTGTGTCTCCCTGGCAGCAGAGTTTGCCCTGTCACCTTTCCAGCTTTACTTGTCTTCTTCTCTAGTCTTCATCATTCCTGTTGCTTTCTTCTCCCTTCTTCAGCAGTAAATCCTAAACTGCCAGCTGATTGGCCTCTAGTGGCTCTGATTTTTGATACCGTACCGAGAATACAGAGCAGCTGAGCATTTAAAGAGTGGGGTGAAACAGGGCCTTACTGGATTTTAAACGTATTTATAATGTTTTACATAGCTATACTTGCAAAAGGGGCCAGCCTGAAGTGATCTATTAGGACTTAATTTTCTGACTAAAGTTCCACTTTAACTGTAAACCTGTATGCTGCAACTTTGTCTGGAGTCCGATGCATTCCCTTTTGTTTGTCATATACCATTTGGAAGTCCAGGAAGAGCAACCCATAAAAGAAGAGGAGGGGGGTGGAATGTCTGAGGGGAAGAGGAGGAGTTGTGGAAAGGATAGGGAGGATGTATTCCCCTTGTTGGAACTCACATTATTAAGTAATGTGGGTTCTCTCCATTGGATTCTATTAGCCTATTCTTTTCATTTCTTTGTATGGTACAGATTGTTAGAATTCCTTCCAGACTTGCCATGTTTGGTTGCTCTGCATTAATCTATCTAGTTTGTAGTGCATAATGGATTCCATGTTGTGGATGTATTCTACATAGTCTTCTAATTCCTTCAAAGAGGGCACAATCGGTGTTCTCCAGAGCTCTGGGCTCATGGCACGAGCCACATTAACTAAGTGTCTGAATAAGTGTTTGGCTGGTAGGAGGAATGTCCAGTTTCAGTATGTAACATATACACTATACTGCCAAAAGTATTGGGACACCCCTCCAAATCATTGGGTTCAGGTGTTCTAATCCCCTCCATGGCCACAGGTGTATAAAGTCAAGCACCTAGGCATGCAGACTGCTTCTACAAACATCTGTGAAAGAATGGGTCGCTGTCAGGAGCTCAGTGAATTCAAGCGTGGTACCGTGATAGGTTGCCACCTGTGCAATGAGTCCATCCATGAAATTTCCTTGCTACTAAATATTCCACGGTCAACTGTTAGTGGTATTATAACAAAGTGGAAGCAACTGGGAACAACTGCAATTCAGCCACGAAGTGGTAGGCCACGTAAAATACCAGAGCGGGGTCAGCGCATGCTGAAGTGCACAGTGAGCAGAAGTCGCCAAATGTCTGCAGAGTCAATAGTTAAAGACCTCCAAACTTCATATGGCCTTCAGATTAGCACAACAGTGTGCAGAGAGCTTCATGGAATGGGTTTCCATGGCCAAGAAGCTGCATCCAAGCCTTACATCACCAAGTGCAATGCAAAGTGTTGGATGCAGTGGTGTAAAGCACGCTGCCACTGGACTCCGGAGCAATGGAGATGTGTTCTCTGGAGTGACGAATCACGCTTCTCTGTCTGGCAATCTGATGGACGTGTCTGAGTTTGGCGGTTGCCAGGAGAACTTTACTCACCTGACTGCATGTGCCAAGTGTAAAGTTTGGTGGAGGGGGGATTATGGTGGTGGGGGGGTTGTTTTTCAGGGGTTTGGCTTGACCCCTTAGTTCCAGTGAAGGGAACTCTTAGGGTGTCAGCATACCAAGACATTTTGGACAATTTCGTGCTCCCAACTTTGTGGTAACAGTTTGTGGATGGTCTCTTCCTGTTCCAACATAACTGCACACCAGTGCACAAAGCAAGGTTCATAAAGACATGGATGAGTGAGTTTGGGGTGGAGGAACTTGACTGGACTGCACAGAGGCCTGACCTCAACCCGATAGAACACCTTTGGGATGAATTAGAGCGGAGACTGAGAGCCAGGTCTTCTCATCCGACATCAGTGCCTGACCTCACAAATGTACTTCTGGAAGAATGGTCATACATTCCCATAGACACACTCCTAAACTTTGTGGACAGCCTTCCCAGATGAGTTGAAGCTGTCATAGTTGCAAAGGGTGGGCCAACTCAATACTGAACCCTACGGACTAAGACTGGGATGCCATTAAAGTTCATGTGTGTGTAAAGGCAGGCGTCCCAATACTTTTGGCAGTATACTGTATAAAGATGTCTCCAAAATTATGCGACTATCAACCAATTAAAGTGCTAAGTGCTTGTGCAAAAAAAAAAAAAAAAAACTCAATACGATCTAACATTATTGTGCAAAACTACGGGATTTTACTAAAAGCGGAGTTGTTGTCCATAGTAACCAATCAGGATCCATCTCTGGGGCATATAAGAAATAAAGTCTGGAGAATGGCACACTTGCGCACACATTGGTAAGCTCTTGTGTTCCTTGGCTCTAACCTTATGTCTTTCTGTTTCTTGATATTGGTCAGAGAGGCTACCAATCACAGCAGTGGGCTAGTAGTGAGGCTTATGAGGTGGGAATAGACAAGTCACTGTATATCGCAGCACTTTGTTATATGCACTCCCAGGGTGGTCTACAAGAAATTGGTAATGATGTGCAGGCAGGAATAGACATCTAATAAACGGCAAGGATTCTGCCAGTTTTACCTTATAGATGCTTGGCAAAGGATAACCTAAATCTGTGTTTGGTGACCACATAGCATCAAGCAATAAAAATTGGTAGCATATGGAGAAACTGAGAAATAAAGAACCTACAAATAAAATTGACCTCAGAACCTACAACTTATATTTGCATATTGTACCTATTTTTGTTTTCTTAGGGTCGGCCCTCACCACATGCATTCTAGTGCATTTTTTTTCTGCGTCAAATACACATGGATAGTAGGTTATATGGTTTCCAGTGGCATAGTTCACACCAGTGCAGTCAGATTTTAGTGAATTCCCGTTCCTGAAAAAAAAGTAGAACATGCTGCATTTTTTTGTGAACTGTACTCTACTGGAATGCGTTAAAACGCACTAGAAGGCACCTAAACTGCACTGTAATACACATGTCCTTCTTTAAGGTAAAGAAAAAAAAGAGGGGAAAATGCACTGGAATGCTTCAAAAACGCACCAGAACACATCAAAAACATGCATGCAGAAACGCATCTGGACTGCGTTTCAATGGTGTGAACTGGACCTTCAAGTATATGAAGCATGAGAGAAATAGAGCTAATTTGCAGTTGAAAATGCTAATTCACTGGCTGTGCTTCCATTCTGCTGAATCGCTGACTCAAAAATGCATGAAATACAAGGCAGAACAGAATCAGAATTTCTTATCTCATGGTTTGTTCGAAGTTAAGCTAGCTATATGCAGCTACATTTCTCTCATTTAGCCTTTGACCTGAACAAGAAATCAATAAATTCTTTCTCCTCACTAAGCAGTGTGAAAGGAGAATTGTCTCCATCTGATTATTGTGTTCTGACAGCCACAGCACCCATGGCTGCTTAAATACGCGAACAGTGATTGCATTTGATTGGATGCAGCCACTGTTCAGTCGATCATTTTCCACCTGGCTCTTTAGATTTATATATCAACTTTTGTCTGGCCGGGTGGTGCTGACAGGACCATCCACAGCTCGAATTGTGACTGATTCAGCATGAATTGGCTGAAATTTGAGCCATGTAAGACCAGCTTTAGTGCTGGGAAAGCATTCAAGCCAAAGAATCAATGACAGCCAGGCAACTAACATGTCAGAAAGAGAGACTAGCAATGTGACAGCTTTCATATCGGTTTCTTTTTTGTTTTGTTTTTTTCCCCATAGTGTCACAAAAGGAGAGCAAGAGCTACCATTGCTGACCTGAAAATGTTAGCTGCCTGGCTGTTAGGCTGATCTTGTGACTTTCCAAGTCATTGGCTTGTAACCGATATGCAGGCAATGAAGGTCAGAAAAATGAGGAGCCTGCATTCCGGGCATTCTTCCCTAGGTGCATACTGCCCTAAACGTTGGTACCACTCGTTGTGTCAGGCTCACATGGCAGCGGGGCTGGACAGTGCACCTGTGCCTTCACCCTGAACTTAAATGCCAAACGCTCAGTGTTCATGGAGGTCTTAGAGAACTGTGGTTGTTTGGCCATTATAGTAATCCATCAGTATGATGTCAAGATCCACATAGACATTAGATGCCTATGAGATACTGATTTGTATGTGTTTCAAGAGGGATAAGTTGATTGTGGCCTTTCATCAATTATGTTACAACTATCTCAGATCTATATCTTTGTGCAAAAGTGAATAGTAGGCAAATAGGAATTTTATATATAATATATATAATTTCCTTTTTTAGGTATTTCTTACATAGCACCACATCTAAACAATATGTACTTCCTCTCGCTGTGTCAGAAGCATGGCGTCTACAGTGTTGTGAGGTGGCTCTTCATCATCAAGCTGGTTCTCAGTGCTCTGATGCTTCTTGCTGGGCCTGACCAGATATATCTACTCTGTATATTCATAGCCAGGTTTGTGCCTTATACAATTATTGGTTATTTGTGTACAAAATGTATTGATTTGAAATGTCAAGATTAACATGCGCCTGGATCCCTTCTCACCTTCAGAAGTCTGTTAGGGCTCCTGACCGTATTCTGTGGTGGTAAGCAATTAGGATTGCAATCAATTCTACATGGGGTATTCCTGCCATAGGTTACCTCAACGGCTTACCTCTGAAGGAGAAGTCTGCACCGCTTCCAGAGCTCAATGTGACTTGAGTGGTGCAAACGCTGTAGAGGTTTGGGATGGGTTCTGAATTATCAGAACTCGGCCTTAGTCCCAATATAAAGATTAGAATATTTAAGTCTTTCTCTGAGAACTCAGCTAACAAATCCCTCAATTTGACTTTGCCTGAGGGTCCCAGGAAAGATGGTAGCCCAGTTTCCCTTTGTTCAGTTCCTTTGACAAGTTTCATTCCAGGGTCCTCCAGCTGAATGTCTTATCGACATGGGACAGGAAGACGCAATCCAATTCCCCGATGTATTTACACCCCAGAACGAGACTGTCTTTGGATTGCCGGTTCTCTTCCTGAATGTTGGGCATGAGAAAATTGTTCCTTCTTCTGTCCTAGAGGGTCCCGGTGACGGATGCCGGCCTGATGGGCTGGGTGGAGTTCTGAATAATCTCTCAGTCTAGGGAACTTTCTCACCGCAGGAGAGGTCATTGCTCATCAACATCCTGGAATTGAGGGCATTTTTCTTGCCCTGCTGCATTGGTTGGTGCAGCTAGAGGGCCATCCCTTTAAAGTGTTACTAAACCCAGGACCCCGCATTCACTATATCTGGTCTCCCACAGTACACACAACATGGAAGCGCAATTATTTTAGTAAATATAAACTGCTAAATATTTTTAGCAGTAGTTAGAGCAGTCTTGTGACTTCTATCAATGTCCAGCAGAGCACTGGTTAAAGCTTATAGGAGGAGTTTTCTTATTCCTCTAGGAGGATGCAGAACCCCTGACCTCTGTCTGGACAGTGCTGATTGGCCCTGTGCTGATCACATGCACTCTCCCAAGAAAAAAAAAAACTCTCTAGCAATACACTAAATTGAGCATGTGCAGAGTGACTCCACACAATATGTCTTATCAGGAGATAAGAGGAAGACACTGAAAGAAGGGGAGGATCAGAGAATTCAGGATCAAAAGGCCTTTTTACACAGTGCAGAGGATTAACCCCTTAGGTTTCACAGTGAGTATAACAAGCATGCTTTACTGCATATACAGACTGATTTTACTGTTGTGGGTTTAGTAACACTTTAAGGATTCAGTAAGACAATGCCACGGCATACATAAATAATTAGGGAGGCACCAGAAGTTGGGCCTCTCCAGAGGGGGCGGATCTCATCTTGTCTTGGACGGAACTTCATGTCCCCGCCCACCCTGTCTGCTACAAACTGAAGCTATGCCTGGGAGGTGATTTCTTGTCTTGTTTTTTGCCAGCATCCAGTCATTTGAAGGTAACAGCATAAAACCTTATTGTAATAGTTATGAAAATACTGTCTCCTATGATGTACGCCAAGGAAAAGATTTTACAGGTACACCAAAAATCCAGTTTTTCCTACTTTTTTCTTGTACGTAATAATATCTGGAGTAGAAGATAGGTCCACTTTGAAGGGATTGTTTTAGCTGCTAGGAGTGATTTTTATGGGTACGACAACCACAACCCAACCTCCTAACAACTACTATATACAAGCATCTGGCTTAGTGGGAAGGGAAGACGTTTCCTAACATATAATGCAGGATCTTAATGTGCCTGACACACCTAAACATTGGATACATTTGCATTTCACAGCCCATTGTGTTCACACAATATTTTGTACAATGCTGGAATTAATGAGATTTTTTTTTCCTGTTACAGCAATCGTGTTTTCACTGAAGGAACATGTAAGCTGCTGAACCTAGTCATCACAGACCTGGTGGATGAAGACTTTGTGCTAAATCGCAGGAAACAGGCCGCCTCGGCATTGATGTTTGGCATGGTGGCTTTGGTTACTAAACCTGGCCAAACGTTTGCCCCTCTCGTTGGCACGTGGTTACTGTGTGTCTATACAGGTATATAGCCAAGGATAGAGAGTATTGTTTGATCACAGCAGGGTCTCTTGCAGCATTTTTCAATTCATAAGAGAAAAGAATCCCCCCCCCCCCCCCACATACACACAAAAGATTATTTGTGTCTGTGGTTACTTATATGAGAGTCCGATTGCTCAGGGATCCTATAACAACCTTTAAATTTAAAGTAGGGACGGGCAATTCAGTTTTCCCTGGGGGTCACATGAGAACCTGGAACTGTTGTGGTGGACCATACTTAATTCTGCTTCACATTAATTTTGGACCTGAGAATGTCCATAAGTAGGTAAATGTAGAAATGAAAAACCTGGCTGTAGAAATAATAGGTACAACTGTTAATGAAATAGGTCTCTTCCAGATGGGGGATAGTAAAAATGGGTGGCTGAGCCATAGTTTTACCACTCCCTGGCCACTCACCTGAACTGTAAATAACAGCCAGATGTTCACATGCTGCAACTGTGGCATTTTTAACTTGGGCTGCAGGGTTTAACAAGCTGCACAGCTTGTCAAACTCTCCCATTGAGTTCAATAGGGCTGTGCTGCAACTGCATGCAATTGTAGTGTGGTACTGCAGCATTATAGGGTTAAATGTGGCCATGAGGAAGTTATAGAACATTTCCCCACTGCCTGTCACATGCACTCTAAAAGGCACTGTGACTGGAAGGAGAGAGCCTGGGATTGGTGTAGCAGAGATTTCTGCAGATCCTGACTGGGAGTGAAGAACAGGTGCATGGCTCTTGGGGTGTGCAGCCTGCAGGCATCAACCCTGCAAGAACTTGGCCAGGTAGCAGAGTGGTGGAAAAGTGTCAGGACATCTCCTGGGCAATGATCTCCCACCAGATCTGAGCCTCCCTGCTGTACTGATCAGCTCCTCAGGTTCTCTGTCCAGTTCCTGCAGCTCTTCACAGACATCTGTCAGTGTGCCTCTCTGTCCGCTTCCTCAGGAGACGTGCTGACAGTGGAGACATCGAGGGCTGGATGTGGCCCTGGGGTTTAAAGGAACCATTGTAGTCAAATGGATTTGTGTCTTTTTATGAATCTTCACCTGATATCACAGCCAGATCAGACAGATATTACTGTGTTGCCTATATAATAGGGTATCTCACATGGTAGAATTAGACTAACAGGAAAGTGTAACAACAATTTGCCATACGAAGCCCAAAAACTGAAGGTTACCTTTAGCCCTGGTTCACGCTGATGCGGTACGAATTCTGCACCGCACCGGAATTGCACCCCGTTCATGTGAACTGCTGCTGGTGTGTATGTTAACAACACCCTGAAAGCAGTCCGCAAAACGCGGTGCAATGTGCAGAATCGGATCACATAGGTGTGAATACCTATGCGATCCGATTCTAGTGCGGACCTAAAAAAGGGTCCTGCACATTTTTGGTGCGGGTACGGTGTGAATAGAGCCACAAAATGTATGGCTCCAATTGCACCGCACACAAATCGCAAGTGATTTGCACATGAATGCAGTGCGGTTCCTGTGCAAATCACATGCGACATACCGCACCGCACATGAACCCAGGCTGAAGAGGCAAGCGTCACAGTTTGATTAGACAGATAAGTCATAGCAGAGACACATTCTTCATGCATGTCACCCTCATCCTTTCATTATTAACCCCTAGACACTGAGCGCATGCAAATATGCATCTGGGCCTTGAGGCCGAGCGGCCGCATATTTGCGTGCCATTATAAAATACATATGTGCTGAGGGCGCGTGCTCCCAGCACATATGTCTGTGTCTCCCCTTGCGAGCGGGACCGTTTCCGATCATGTGACGGCGAATCACGGCGGTCACATGACCCTAAAACCCCGGCTTCTGAAACTCTTAAAGGGCTGGGAGGCAGAGGTGCAAAGAGGTTAATCAGATATTGAACCAAAACCAGCACATAGCCTTTGGAACTCAATATCCTTTGTCCTTTAGAGCTGAACTACAGGAATTTGACAAAAAACACCCTTTCCCCTGCACTGCAAGTGTTAAATGCTGGTTTAGTAGGGGTGCAGGGATAAGGTGTAATACCCTATTTCTGGCTCCAGCAGACTCTCTCTAGTGCTGCCTCCTCTCAGGCATTTGGGGCCCAGATTACAAGCAGAGTAGGTAGCCCAGCACTGTACATGATGATGCTGAGGGACCACCCACAGCTGCAGGCAGAGAAGAGCAGCACTGGACTGAGGGATAGGGTAAGTAATACGACTTATACCTGCAGCCCTAGACTAAGCAAGCACTTAACCCTTGCAGTGCAGGAGGGGCCTACTAAAGGGTAGAGTTTGTTTGCTTCTCACAGTTCAGCTTTAAGCTTGCACCCGAAAAACAGAAGTGCCAATATTTGTCCCATGTTCCTTGTAAGCAAGGAACGGCAGAGAGCACCAATGCTTCACAGAACATGTTGACCCAAAGCACCCCATCAAATTTGTGTTTACTATCAGGCCTGTGGAAGATATATTTTGATTGCTTGCTCCATGCCCCTGCACTTTGCACTTCTCAAGTATTAAAGGAAGGGAACTGAAGATTAATAGACTTTGCCCAGATTTTTTCTTCATTACAGGTGCATCTCAATAAATTCGAATATCATAAAAAAGTTAATTTATTACAGTAATTCAATTCAAAAAGTGAGTGATTCATTACACACTGAGTGATACATTTTAGGCATTTGTTTTAATTTTGATTATGATGGCTTACAGCTAGTGAAAATCCAAAATTCAGTATCTCAGAAAATTAGAATATAGTGAAAAAGTTCAATATTGTAGACTCGTGGTGTCTAATCAGCTAATTAACTCAAAACACCTGTAAAGGTTTCCTGAGCCTTTAAATGGTCTCTCAGTCTGGTTCAGTAGGTTACACAATCATGGGGGAGACTGCTGACTTGACAGTTGTGCAGAAGACAGTCATTGACACCCTCCACAAGGAGGGTAAGTCACAAAAGGAAACATTGCTAAAGAAGCTGGCAGTTCACAGAGTGCTGTCTCCAAGCATATTAATGGAAATTTAAGTGGAAGGAAAAAGTGTGGTAGAAAAAGTTGCTCAAGCAACAGGGATAACCGCAACCTGGAGAGGATTGTGAAGCAAAGGCCATTCAAGAATTTGAGGGAGATTCACAAGGAGTGGACTATGGCTAGTGTCAGTGCTTCAAGAGCCACCACCCACACAGACGTATCCAGGACATGGGCTACAACTGTCGCATTCATTGTGTCAAGCCACTCCTGTGTGTTCCTGAAATTAAGGTTGCAGAGTCTGGAGGAAGAGTGGAGAGTAGTGGTGCACCGAAATGAAAATTCTGGTGCCGAAACCGATACAGAAAATTCAGAATGCATGTGGGCGAAAAGCGAACCGAAGCCAAAATGTCTGCATATGTGTGGGTGGGGAGGCTTCAATTTTTTTTCGTATTTTTCTACTTTCATGTATAATGTTATTTAGTTTTTTTTAACTTATGATTTTATTGCTATCACATAGGGGACCAAAAGTTCCTTATGTGATTGCATATGAGCAGCAGGTCCTCTTTTTAGGAGGCAGTGTGTGCAAGGAGGGGGCAGACGATATGTTTCGGTGGCCAAAATTTCGGTTCGTCCCTAGTGGAGAGGCACAGAATCCCAAGTTGCATGAGGTCCAGTGTGAAGTTTGCACAGTGATGATTTCGGATGCCATGTCATCTGCTGGTGTTGGTCCACTGTGTTTTATCAAGCCCAAAGACAGCGCAGGAAATTCTAGAGCACGTCATGCTTCCTTCTGCTGACCAGCTTTATGGAGATGCTGATTTCATTTTCCAGCAGGACGTGGCACCTGCCCACACTGCCAAAAGTACCAATACCTGGTTGAATGATCATGGTATCACTGTGCTTGACTGGCCAACAAACTCGCCTGACCTAAATCCCATGGAGAATCTGTGTAGTATTATTAAAAGGAAGATGAGAGACACCAGACCCAACATTGCAGATGAGCTGAAGACCACTATCAAAGCACAACAATAAAGCAAAAACAGGCCACCAAAAATGACACAAATTATTGTCATTAGCATATCTCCGACTCACTTGTATAAGTGTGGATACAAAAACCCAAAAACTACATACTAAACAATATGGTAGTGTGACAAGAACACCCCTATCTAAATAAGCAGGTTACTAGATGATCCACGCGGAGTAATATGAATTCAAAAGAATTTTTAACAATACTTTATTTGATCACATAGATCATAGGGAGGTTAAAACATAAGCACGGTGTACATATGAAAAAAATAAAATCATGTTAAAAAACACCGTGCTTATGTTTAACCTCCCTATGATCTATGTGATCAAATAAAGTATTGTTAAAAATTCTTTTGAATTCATATTACTCCGCGTGGATCATCTAGTAACCTGCTTTTTTAGGTAGGGGTGAGCCACTATCAAAGCAACCTGGGCTTCCACCTCAGCATTGCCACAGGCTGATCGCATTCATGCTACACTGCATTGATGAAGTAATTCATTCAAGAGGAGCCCCGACCAAGTATTGAGTGCATACTATACCGCACATGGACATATCTTTTAGTAAGCCAATAAAAATCCTTTTTTTTTTATTGGTCTTGTGTTATGAGTTACTGAATTTTGGATTTTCACTGGCTGTAAGCCATAATAATCAAAATTAAAAGAAAGAAATGCTTGAAATGTATCACTCTGTATGTGATGCATCTTTATAAAATATGAGTTTCACTATTTGAATTGAATTACTGAAATAAATTAACTTTTTGATGATATTCAAATTTGAGATGCACCGGTATAGTTAAGCTTTGACATAACACGCCCAGTTCATGATTGGAATACGATTTCTCTGGAGAAATACAGGATGAATGTTTGAATGTGGTTACTAAGAAGTAGTAGTTAGCAAATGAAGTCTGTAGAATTACAGGTGTGAGTGTTTGAAATTGACCTACAGCTATTTTATTGCAGGATATGACATCTTTCAGCGGGATGCTATGAATAATATCAGTACCGAGCCACAGATGGATTCCAGCCAAGTGCTGACCACCACTCTGCGCCAAGGATGCTTCTATCTCCTAGTATTCATCCCAATTACATGTGCTCTGCTGCAGCTCTTCACCTGGTCACACTTCACTCTACATGGAAAACGGCTCATCACCGTGAAGACTTATCGCCAGGCTCAAAATGATATCCCTCCAGATGTAAAAACTATATGAAGGACCACCGAAGAGACATTGCCAATTTTTGCCTTTTTTATTTTTTATCCTTGACCAGAACATGACCACTCACCTCCTTCTCTGGTATCAGTATACAGTGGCATAGAGGTCATATACCTATCATTTGAGATCTACTGAAGCCACTTTTGCTCACCTTCCTTTGAAAATGCTAGCTATCTGGCTGACTTGGGCACCAGTACCAAGTATGCTACCTAGTCAAGTCTGAATGTATGACAGCCAGGCAGCGAGTTTTTAAACAGGTCAGCAAAGGCAGCCTCCATATTTTTCTGTTCAGGTTTATTTTACATGCTAAACATTTTCTTTTTTAATTTCAAAAGGGACCAATTCATTCTGTCCTATGTGTGATGGAGGCTTTATTTAATTGTAGTACCTGACGCCTTCTTACAGTGGAGATAGAGGTGGTTTGTGCTTACTTTAATAATTCTTTACATTACTTTTGTACTAGTACCAACTCTACAATGCACAAACCAGTGATTATGTAAGTTCCCATGGAATTGATGGACTGCATTTTTTTTTTTTGCTTCCACCAACAATATGAACGACTCAAGTGGGTAGAGGACAGGTGCACTTTAGGGGACCTTATCTTTGAATGTTAAATTGAACCTGCACAGGATTAGAAAGTGTAATAACAGTGGGCATCTTGAGCAACCTGCAAGTACTTGTGTCAAGCTGACCATACACGTATAGATTTTTGTTAATCATGCATGCTGAAAGAAAGCAATTAACAGATCCCTCCATGCACACTAAGCAGCATACATGGATTAATCTGCATTTACTGTATTCTGACAGCCAACGGGGCTGGTTGTTGGAATACTTGAATAATGCCTGCATCTCTTTGGATTGTATAAAACAGTTTCAGTCTGGTTTTCATATCCTTGTGCCCTGATGGAGAGCCTTATTTCCTGTACTTTGCATAGCTCCACCCTCTATCACTCAGGAGTGTCAAACTGCTGGCCCTCCTACTTTTGCAAAACTACAAGTCCCATCATGCCTCTACCAGTCATGCTTGTAACTATCAATCTTGCAATGCCTCATGGGACTTGTAGTTTGGCAACAGCTGGAGGGCCGCCAGTTTGACACCCGTTAGTCTAAAGAGGCCTGTGACAGCTGCATAACATGGGGTTGGGTTTAGCAAACTAAAGGTAATCTTAATCTATTGACATGCATAGCATGGCTCCAGGCCTCAAGGGCCACAAGCAGGGCTTTTATTCAACTTAACTTGGTGGAACTGAGTTCCACCACCTCTGGCTCAGGCCCTCTGCTCCCTGCTCACCACCAAGTCCAGCTTCTGTGTTTACAAGTAACAGCTTGTCATCCTGTACTTAGTGGCTCCCACTGAGTGCAGGATGGAGGCAAGGGAGATGCAGGTACCCATGGTGCAGTGTAGATGGCTGACAACTCCACTGGATGATCTCCCTGCATGAGGAATGTGGAGCCACCTACAGTGTGGTGGGCAGGTGCTTGACCTTAATACAGAAACAAAAGTAAAGAGGTGGAAGAGGGGGGGGGGGGAGAAGAAGAAGGGGGCAAGGGTAGGAGGTGAAAGTGAGATTTGGATGAGGGATGCAGAAATAAGCGGCTGTGGAATAGGGTTGAATTCTGCACTGTGTGTAGAGCACCCATCAACTCTGCACTATGATTGATGCGCACCCCTCAACTCTGCACTCTCCTGGTATTTAATGGCCCTTTAAGACCTTCCCCCTATTAGTGAAATTTGACTACACCAAGTATTTGACACAGTTTTGCGTGTGTCTGTGTGTTGGGGGATATCAGTCTGAAGCCTAATACAAGCACCTGCAGGCCCTAAAAGGTGCCAATCATTAAGCTCTTTTGCCAACTCAGGCACGTTTAAGGCCAGATCAGGTTCGCTGCATATAGCATAGCAGTGCACTTTTAAACAGAGTTTAAGCAGACTGGCAGAGACTTCATCACTGGTGTTTGCCATCAATATGAAGATATATTCTTACTTTTTTATTTTCAGCATTTGCTATTCTTCAGTTTATACTAACCAAGGTGTTGTACCAGCACAATGTAACAATTTTTACAATGCAATAATTATGAACTGGGATACTTTCCATATTACAAAGCAGTTTTTAGGCTTCTTTCACACTAGCAGTGACATACAGTACATGTGTTATTATGCATTTGTAAGACCTTCCTAACTCATACGTTTATGTGATGATTTTAAATGGGCTCATTCAACCTGAGGCGATAGGCATTTTTAGAGAAAATAGAATTCTGAGTGTTCAGGGGCAGATTAGATGCTGTGAGTGTTTTTAAATGCATGTAAACAAAAAAGTACATTTAAATGCAGAAATTGATCAGGGAAGCGTATAGTTTATGCTGCCCAGATCATTTCTCCTGCATTTAAATATTCCAAATGCTGGAGGCTAGTGTGAATGTTGCCAAAACTTTTATTTGATTTTATGAGGGAATGCAAAATTATATCTGTTAACTGGCTCTGATAAAACTTTGAGCACCGTCAGTCTCCACCCATAATTCTCTTGGTATAGTTCAGAGTTTAAAAGCTGAATGGTTACTGCAGGCAACAGCCTTTTTTCCAGCTTTTAAAAGTTGGGCATGTGTATCTCAGCAAAGTGTGTCTTAACCGTGTTTAAAAGGCTTTAGAACCGAATCCTTTAATCTTGAAAAATGTTCAAAGGTGCTCAATCACAAAGGAAAAAGATACGTGTGCAAAATGCAGTAACCATAGTAATCATTCAGAATGTTGATAGATCTGACTGGTTTGTTGGTTGCTATTAGTTACTGCATTCTGCACACCATTCTTGATTGAAAGCCTAGTTGTGCGAACATATACCTCATTTTGTCTCAGGATGTCATTCCCATATGGTGACCAGCTGTATCACTGCCATGCTCTGACTCAACTCATGACTTGCCATGCAAATAAACTGTCTATTTTGTCCACTGCATTGTCTTCAGTGAAGTTTCACCAGGCTTTGTCAGCTTGTAGAACTACAAGACCCAGCAGGCACATTTGGGTCTGGAGTTTCACCGCAGGTTACCTTAGCTTGATCCAAGCACTTTACACTCAGTACAAGTCACTTTTAGAGCAGGTTTTTTTTTTTTTTATTGTAGGATTCTAAATTTATTTGGGCATCACCAGCTGACAGTTTTACTTATGTAAGGTACAAGATCAGGCAGTTATTACAATGAATAGAAAATAAGTTAACATTACTTACTGTAATTAAACAAAACCGTCTAGGGCCAATCCCACAGCCATTGAAACAATGCAGAAATACATGGCCCTGGAGGGCACAAGTAGAGCACTCATTCTTATGTGCTTTCAAACAGAGACTTAGTTAAACTACCAGTGATCAGGGCAATAGCATAAGATTTACTAGAAGGATTGAAAGAAAAAAAAAAAAAAACCTATGGCTACAGCTTACAAACATGGAGGCAGCCCTTGCTGACCTCTCCTAAAAACAGAATTTCTTGACTTTACTGCTGACCCACCAGCTGCAATAGTCACTGGCCTGGTACAAGTATCCAGCATGCAAGAATGAGTGACTTTCATGGTATGGTGCACACTTGTTTTCAGTTATTCACACTCTGGTACCAAAGCCAGACAAATAGCATTTTCAGAAGCAATAATTGACAGCTCCTGTTACTTTATATATATAAAAAAAAAAAAAAATCATGAAATACAGTATAGCTGCCAATCAGAATTGTTTTTTCAACAATGATTCTATCCAGTAAAATTAAATCTCATTCGGCGATACCACTTGTCACTGCTTACTTAAGTGTAGAATAAATGTCAACACCTAGGCTTATCAAAAGACAAGAATAGGATGAATATTTCCTGGGGAGCAGGCCTATACCTCAAGAGCCTCTTCACACAAATGTTGAGAAGTTTAAAAACCATTTCTAAGGTTAACCATTACACTGGATCATTACATCTTTTCAAGGCTTGTGAGCATCCTAAAGTAAGTGCCTCTGGTTGCCCACTCCCCACCAAGTCACTTACAGACCTGCGCTGCCTACTCACTCTATCAGAGCAGGGCTCCCAGATATAGGAGGTGCATGTAATTCCTCCCCTTTAACAGTGTTTGGCCTGAGTGGCCAATCACCAAGCACAAATACTGTCACATGGCAGGATTAGCAAGCAGTGATGGTGTTCAGCCATGCACACTCTAACAAAGAAGCCTATTCAGGTTGGACACGGCCATGAGGGAGTGTAGTATTGAGTATACCTTGTTGAGGGAGTGTAGTATTGAGTATACCTTGTTGAGGGAGTGTAGTATTGAGTATACCTTGTTGAAGGAGTGGGTGATAAGGAGGCACAGTCATTCTGCCCTAAGTTTCTTTACAAACCCACTCACAGCCATTACTTGTCCACCAATATACTGAATACCCTGGGCTAATGGTACTGAGCGGATTCATTTTTGATGTACGCAGCCCTTAACGTCATGAATACGGTTTGTTACACGCATAGAATTCTTAAGCCATGCAGCATAAAGAGCCCTATGTTTAAACAATTGCTAGTATTCCAGAATAAAACTACAGCATCAGCTTCTCCCATAGACATAGATGGCATGCACTTGATATTCAAATGCCATGATAAAAAGAAATACCAGGCAGTTAATGACAATAAAATTAAACTTGTCCTAAAGCAGAACTTTCCTTTTTAGGTGGAGTGATGCAGGGTTCAGTTTTCCAATGCATTCCCAGGACCTTAGGGGTCACAATGCATTCCCAGGACCTTAGGGATCACCTGTTAAAAGGGAATGCTACATACATTCTTATTGGTCATCCACAGGAGCATATATCAGACAAATCCTGTATCGTGTTCTACTGCAATAGTACTCAACTGCAGCCCCCATTGTCCTTTAACAGCACGTTGTCTGTGCTGCCAGTTACTGCATGAACAAGTAACCTGTGGAGGAGATGTGAATGAAGGCACTGTTACAGGGTGCAGAGGATCAGAGTTGAGCATAATTCCTGCACTTTATTGTGAGTAC